AGGGAGGCAGCTGGTGGTGCTGCAGCTGCCTTGAGCTCGCCCTCACGCTATCAGCTAAGTCACCCACTTCCATGCCCTCACCCTTGCCCGCCACATCATGGCTTGTTGCTTTCTTGCTGCCTGTTCGTTTGCCGGTTGTGCTTTCGCCCTTCCCTTTGAAACAATGCCATTAGTTGAGTGCGGTTCACATGCTACAGACCCCCAATCTTCAGGTAACCCTCTCAGGTGCAGGTAACCCCTTCAGGTGCAGTTACACCTGTCAGGTTTTGTTTCAGGTGCCCTTGGGTCTGTAGCTTGTGGTCGCGCCTCAACCACTGGCTCCTCCCTTCCCTTGTGCTGGATTTCAAGTCACAGTTTCCCATTCAACTTGCTCCCACCACTGCGCTCTGACTAGCTCTGTGTGTGCGCATTGCAGGTGGCGGGGAGGGGTGTGGGGTCAACACCGACGCTCCCTCACGTCTCTCCCCTGTGGCCGTGCAGGTGGCAGTGGTGGGAGGGGAGGGGGGCAGCACTCCACTCGGCTGGGATGGGATGGGAGAGTATCGGGATTGGGGTCATCTGGAACAAGGTGAGCCTTTTTTCCTCGTGCACTCCTGCTGCTTGGTCTTGTTCCCATGCTCACTTTTCTTTCTTGCTCGCTCCCTGCCTTCACGCTTCTCCCTGTTCTCACTGCTGTCCCTTGATCCCCTGCCTGCCTCCGTCTCCCCTCCCTCCGTCTCCCCTCCCTCTTCCCTCACCCCCAGAGCATTGAAGGCTGTAGCAGCGCGGCAGCAGGGGGGCAGAAGGGGGACACGCAGCAGGGCGTCAGCGGAGGGGAAGGGAGGGGCAACGGCAGCAGCAGGGGAAGCAGAGTGGCAGTGGCGGCTGACATGGAGTGCACAGGCAGCAGCTGCTCTCCACCCAACCCACCCACAGCTAAGTACCCCGCCCTTCCTCTCTTCTCCCAACCCTCGCAATCTGTTGCTTTTCATGTGCTGCCCTCTCTCACACCCAAGAGACCTGAGCCTCCCTGTAACCTGAGCCTCTGGTCATGCCACAGTTTCAAGCCACAGACCCCTTTTTTTGGTAAACCACCCCAGGTACAGAAGGTATTTTCTCAGGTTAAGCCTCCCTTGGTATATAGCTCCTTGGGTCTGTCGCTTGTAGCTGAGGCTGCACCAGTGGTCCCCTTTCCTGCTGTCACCTGTCACCCCACCCCACCCCACCCCACCCATGCACTACCTTCACATTGTTACCCCTAGCCGCTTACTCACTCTTTTCTCTTTTCTCATTGCCCTTCAGATCCCCGTCCTCTCTTCCGTCCCTTCCTTTCTCTGCTCCAATCCCCCTCTCGTCCCAGCAGGTCGCTCACACAAGAGGGTCAGTGGCGGGGGACATGGAGTGCACAGGCAGCAGCTGCTCTCCACCCAACCCACCCACAGCTAAGTACCCGCCCTCACTTTCTCCTCCCAATCTCTCTCGTGTTCGTTTGCTTTCCACATTCTTCCTTTGCTGCATCTCCTGTTTTCTTGTCTCTTCGAATGCAAGCCTCTTGTTGAGCCAAAGCATCAAGCCACAGACCCCTTTTCTTGGGTAAATCACCCCAGGTATTACAGGTATACTCTCAGGTCTGCAGGTAAGCCTCCCTAGGTGTGTACCCCCCTTGGATCTGTGGCTTGTAGCTGAGGCTGCACCAGTGGCCCGCTTCTTTCCTCTCACCTGCCATCCCGTGCACTCCTCTCACATTTCTACCCCTAGTCGCATACTCACCTCTCTTCAGTTCTCTCCTTTCCGTTGAGGGGAGGGGCGTGGGGGTCAACACCTCCGCTCCCTCGCGCTCCTCCCCTGTGGCCTCGCAGGTGGCAGTGGTGGGAGGGGGGCAGCACTCCACTCGGCTGGGTTGGGAAGGGAGAGTATCGGGCTGGGTTTTCTGAAACAAGGTGAGCCTGTTTTCCCTCTTGCTCTCATGCTGCTGCCTTGTTCTCTAGATGCTCGTTTTACTTACTTGCTCCCTCCTTGCTTTCATGCTTCTGCCTGCCCTTCTCCCCATTCTCACTAATATCCCTTGCTCCCTTGCCTCCCTCCCTCTCCCCTCCCTCCCAGTGCATTGAAGGCTGTAGCACGGCGGCAAGGGGGCAGCAGCAGGGCAGTAGCGGAGGGGAAGGGAGGGGCAGCGGCAGGAGTAGCAGAGGAGCAGACCGACAGCAGCAGTAGCAGCAGCAGAAGCGGCAGCAGCAGACGCTGGGGCTGGAGGGCAGGCTAGGTTAGATTTAGCTGAGGTATGGTACCAGGTGGTATGGTAACAGGTGAGGTGTGGTAACAGGTGAGGTGTGGTAACAGGTGAGGTGTGGTAACAGGTGAGCTATGGTAAGCTGATCCTCTCCTCTCTCTCTCACCCTGTTCTCCCCTGCAGGCTGAAGGTGGAAGCGATGTCACAAGGGCAGGAGAGTGGAGTCCACCCTCTCACTCACCTCCTCCTCTCTCCCTTTTCCCTTCCCTCCCAGCAGCACCCTGCAGGGACCACAGTGGTGGACCATAGTGGAGTTCGGCCCTCCCCTAATCCCCCCCTTCTCTCTCCACTTCCCAGCAGCCTCAGCATCATGGCGCTCTGCACGGCTGTGGTAAGTGGAGGTAAGTAGAGGTAAGGGGGCATGGGGGTGAAGTGTGGGGTGGGGGGGAGCATGGGAGCAAGCGGGGAGTTCACTGCCTTAGGGGCAGCATCACCTGGGGTTGTGTCTTGTGGTGGTGGGGTGTGGTGGGTGGAATCTGCGCGGCACGGCACTCGGTGCTCAAGTAACCGATCTGGCGTTCAAGGCCTAATGGACACCGTCAGAGCCGACCGGCCGGCGGCTCTGGTTCGCGTCAGCTCTGGCTACGTCAGGGGTGGGATTTGAGTCTTGGGCTGGAAGCAATTTTCCACTACCACACTTCGCCCCACAAGGCACTGCCTCTGGGGGTGCTGTTTCCTTAAGAAAGTGGGCTTTCTGCTGCTCCTACTGCTAGTACGTGAAGGTGGGATGGGCTGGGTGGGTGAGTGAGAGAGAAGGGGGCCTGAAACCCCTTGGGTGGTGAGTGGGGCCTGAATCCCCTTGGGTGGTGAGTCAGAGGGAAGGGGAGTGAACCCCCTTGGGTGGGTGAGTCAGAGGGAAGGGGAGTGAACCCCCTTGGGTAGGTGAGTCAGAGGGAAGGGGAGTGAACCCCCTTGGGTGGGTGAGTCAGAGGGAATGTGGGTGAGTCAGAGGGGAGTGAATGTGGGGTGGGGCGAGGTAAGGTGGGTGGGGGTTGGGCGGGTGGGGACTGGGGTGCTTTAATTTGGGGAGAGTTGTTGGGGATGGGTGGCTATAAATTGGGGTGGTGGGGTGTTGGGGATGGGTGGTGTTGACTGGGGTTGGTGGGTTGTTGGGAATGGGTGGTGTTGACTGGGGTTGGTGGGTTGTTGGGAATGGGTGGTGTTGACTGGGGTTGGTGGGTTGTTGGGGATGGGTGGCTTTGACGGTGGGTGAATGTGGGGAGGGTCGAGGGGTGTGGTGGTGAGTGTGTGGTGAGGGTGAGTGTTTCGAGTGGTGAGAGGGAGTGCTTACTGTGAGTGGTGGAGGGGTGTGGCAAGGTGGTGAGATGGTGAGAGAGCGGTGATTCGCAGTGAGTGGTGTGAGAGTGGTTATTTGCAGTGAGTGGTGAGAGAGTGGTGATTTGCAGTGAGTGGTGATTTTTGGATGTAAGGGTGGTCAGAGAGCAGAGAGGGTGCTGAGAGTGCATGGTCGGAGTGGTAAGTGGTGACAGTAGTGAGAGAATGCTGAGACTGAACTCTGAGAGTGAGTGGTGAGGATGGTGAGTGGTGGAGGGGTGAGAGTGGCGAGGTGGCGAGGCGGGGTGAGTGGTGAGAGTGAGTTGTCAGAATGAGTGGTGGGAATTAGTGGTGAAGAGTGGTGAAGAGGGGTGAAGACTGGGATCTGCTGGTGAGTGGTGACGTTCTGTGGTGAAGGCAGTGAGTGGCGCAATTGAGAGTAGAGAGTGAGGAATGAGACTGGTCAAGGAGTGAGTGGTGGTGGGAGTGCTGTGATAGTGATTGGCAAGAGAGAGGTGGGAGTGGCAAGGGGTGCGGAGCTAGAGTGTATAACTGGGATGTCATAATTGTACGGTAGCTGTGTGTATGGATGAGTATACCAAGCAAGCATACCTGTTTTTTACCAGATGAATTGACCTGTAATTAGCAATTTTTTTGGTGCGATCGTGTGCTTCGAACAGGTTTTAATATAGATTCAGTCTACAGCAACTGTGTAAGCATGTGACAGAACATGCTAACCCATGTGTCTATAGGCCCAGGGAGACAATAATGCAGACAATCCCTAGGAGGGTTCGCATGCCCATCAGGTCTCATCTCTGTCATCCTCTCCACATCCATAAAAACCCCTCCAATCCGCTCCACCAACTGCTTCGCTATCACGTTTTGTGCGTGAAAATCACCCCAGTGGTAGGGGTAGGAGCTCGAGTCTGGAGTCTCCTTGTACGGATCTGTAATTGCTCTTGTGCAATTGGGATGGCCCGCCGGTGTGCTTCGGTAGACCACCAGCGTGTTCGGTGCAACGCTTCTAACTTCGTGAAGTGTAGCGTTGAGCTCAGGGATGAAAACTTCATTCTCTTTATAGTGTGCTCCACGATTCAGTAGTAGCACAGCCACGCTGCGATCCTGTTTAAGCGTTCTCATCCACGGCGTGTTGACGAAGCGAGGAATCTCATTCAAGTAAGCGTCCGACGTGTTTAGGAAGTCATTCCGAATGTACAGTACTGTAGTGTTCCTGTATCGCATTTCCATGCAATGCCGGCTGATCTCACGAATCTTGCGATGCTCTGCACACGTCTCCTGTCCAAGGTCCTCTACTCCAGGGCATTCCTGCTTTACGCTTTCCTCTTGCTGCTGCCGCTGCTGCTGGTGATTCAGCCTTGCCTGCTGCTCCTGCTGCTCATTATACTGCTGCTCCTCCTGTTTTCCCTCCCGTTTTCCCTCCGGTTTCCTCGCCTGTTTACTCTCCTGCTCCTTTTCCGGTTTCTGCTGTTGGTTTTCCGGCCCTTGCAGCTGTTGCCGCCGTGGCTGCTGCTGCTGCGGCTCCTGCTCCGCCCCCTTCTGCGCCCCCTGCTGCGCCCCTTGCTGCGCCCCCTGCTGCGCCGCCTGCTGCGCCCCCTGCTGCGCTTCCTGCTGCGCCCCCTGCTGCGCCCCCTGCTGCGCCCCCTGCTGCGCCCGCTGCTGCGCCCCCTGCCGCATCTGCTGCGCCCCCTGCTGCGCCCCCTGCCGCATCTGCTGCCTCTGCTGCCGCCTTTCCTCATACCAATTCTTCCACATCTCAAAAATACACTTCTTCTGGCACATTTCCATCAGATTCTTAAAAGCTGCAAATACTTCTAGATGTAAAGAATCTCCCACAATCATGATCTTTCCTCCGTTTGGAACAAGCCCTGCTTTCAACCGCGCGCAGTCCACCTCTCCCCACCACTCACTTTCCCCACATTCTTCCAACCCTCCTCCTTCCCCCTCCTCTCCCGATCCGTGACCCCCTTTCTGCTTCGGCAACAACCACCGGTACTTCACGCTCGGCCGAACCTGCCACACTGCCCTTCCCCCCCTCCTCCGAGCCACTCCATCCGCAATGTCATACGCGATATTCCGAAATGCAGCTGCCCCAGGATAATTATCCTGCCCGGAATTGTTTCTCTGGGCTTTTGTAATCCACCAGTAGTCACAGGAAGAATACCCTCCTTTTACTTGTGCTCCCCATGGTAGGTATCTTGGCCAAGGGTCATACACCCACTGCCCTTTAGACGCCAAACATCTAAATCTTGTCTCAAACCTCTTGATCTCGACTACAGTGGCAAGTCTGGACCCCGGGATCAACGGTTGAGATTGATCAGCAATTGAGGCTTCTACTCCAGTAATGCCTCCCCCTTCCTTCTTTTCCACCTCCATTGCTGCCGCCCCGGCCACTCTCCTCCTACCCTCGCGGCCTTTCAAACCTAGTACCGACACTCTCAGCGGAACGGTCGGCAGGGTCGCGCGAAAGTCTGACGCGAGAATTCTGGAGCAGATCGCAATGGCGATGCCAACCATGGCGAAAAGAACGAGCACGAAACCCTGCACGCTTCCAAGAACCAGGGCTTTCGGCTTCGCAGTTGTCGTCATCGTTCTTAGTTAAGAAAAATCTCGATATATTCTGCTTCCGTCACGCGTAGTACAGGTCGCACTTCAGAAAATTTGGCTGCTGAACTGCGACTACGAAAAGGAAATGCAGGTCAGGAGCAGTTTAAATCAGCATATACGACGCACCGTCTACGCTCGTATGTTCCCAAGAGGCACCGTCTACGTTGCAGGTTACCCAAGACGGTCTTTCTATTCTCAGAAAACGCACACTGCAGAACGCATTACCCCACAGCGGCACCGCAATAGCGAATTCTGCACCCTCGATCGCGTCTGGGCACTCTGCATGTGAGCTTCTGTGTCGGGCGATTCCTATAAAAGCTATCGGTGGCTCCTATATGGCAGCGGAGGAATGAGCTTCTACTGCCCAACTTCAGCGACAAATGCTCAGTCAGGGAAACGTGCTGGTTGGTTGGCGGATAATTGGCAGCGAGCGGATGAAGTTGCTCGTATTTTCTCACGTTCCCATCCCAGCTGCTGGGTGTTCTGTGTAAGTGAAGGAAGGTCGTTCTGTTCCTAACATTCGCATCGCATACACAGAACACCCAGTTTTCGCGAGTAGAGTTTTGGGCTCTTACGACTGGCCTACGACCCAAACGAGAAACTACACTGCTGTAAACGAATGGTAACTTCTAGCAAGCGATGACTTTGGCATGTGATGCCCGCCAATAACGGTCGTGACTAATGGGTGGGGGTGGGATGTCGGTGCGCATGGGATCGTGATTGATAACCCGATAAGAACGTTGCTATCAGATGGTTATAGCGAGCGTGTACATGGAAGATTCACACAACCATAAAAATAATACTCCGAACCGAATTGAAAGGAGAAATGTTTGGTGAACAGTTTGGTGACTATCTGTTTTCTTCTTGTTTTCCAAAGATTCGATTAAGTCCATTGCTTCTACAAACTGCCAAGTGTAGCTACAGTGCATCTTACTATTGGTGGTGCACCCCTGTAACTAAAAGTGCACGATCTCTTCATACAAGAGAAACCCCCCTCAATTAACATCATTTGCTCTCTCACGTTCATACACTCCCAAAACCTTCTAGAGCTACTTTGATCTGGCGCTGGAGCTGGAGGTACTGCTACTGGAGGCGCTGGAGCTGGAGGTTCTGTTGCTGCTAGAGGCGCTGGAGCTACTGGTGCTGGTGACACCGCACAGCCGCGACTTTTTTTTGCTCCCCCGTCGCCGTCGTCTCTGCCGCTGCCTGACTCTGTGCTTCGCCAGGTTCTTAGCCTCCCGTCTTCTACTGGTCTCCCGTTACAGCCAGGCTCCCCACTGCCCGCTCCTTCTCCTTACACTGCGCATACAGTCTCGCTTACAGAGCGTCGTGAGCCTGCGTCTCGTCCTGCCTCACCTGTTCGCCCGCGTCGCACTGGTCGTCGTGTTCCTCGTGAGCGTCCGCCTCCTGTCCCTGGCACGCACGCTATGGCACTTCGTCCTTCCTCTGTTCCACAGCGTGTTCCCCTGCCGTCTCCTCCTGCGTCTTCTCTGCCTGACGTTCCGGACCCTGAGTCTGACCTGGTTCGTGCTGCTCACCCTACTGTCACGCGTCTGCTAGCCACTGTTGTCACTGACCCGTCGTTTGAGTCTGCTGCTGCGTCTGCCTTAGTCTCTGAGCTTGTTGACTTTGCTGCTGCCTGTCGTCTAGACTACGCTGCTAGATTGTTGCTGAGTCTGAGTCTGTCTGTCCTCCGTCCGTCGGGGGTGAGTGTGCTCTTGGCACGGACGTCCTTGAGGACAGGCAGGAGGACTTTGAGTGTCTTGCAGCCGCTGCGCCTCATCTCGTGTCCATGCTGCTTGCCCCTGAGGGAGACCCGGATGCTCCAGACATCCCGACCCCGCGATCTTACGCTGAGGCGATCGCGGGTGAGTACTCCTCTCAGTGGCAGACAGCCATGGACGCAGAGATGGCATCCTGGAAGGCCAGTGGCACTTACGTCGACGCAGTTCCCCCTCCTGGGGCGAACGTAGTCGATGGCATGTGGATTTTCAGGGTGAAGCGGCCGCCGGGTTCTCCGCCTGTCTTCAAGGCTCATTACGTTGCTAGAGGCTTCAGTCAGCGAGAGGGAGTTGACTTCTTCCAGACCTTCTCCCCCACCCCGAAGATGACCACTCTTCGGGTGCTGCTGCACGTTGCCGCTCAGCGTGACTACGAGTTTCACTCTCTAGACTTCAGCACAGCGTTTTTACAGGGCAGTCCGCCCTCCTGGCTTCACTGGGTCGTTCCCTCCTGGTACCCAGTGGAGCCTCCAGCGGCCAGTCTACGGTCTCCGCTAGGCGCCTCGTGAGTGGCACGACACACTGAGGATGACGCTTGCGGCTCTTGGGTTCGCTCCTTCCACTGCTGACCCGTCGCTGTTTCTGCGTACCGACACTTCGCTGCCGCCGTTCTATATCCTCGTGTACGTCGACGAAATGGTCTTTGCCACTGCTGACACTGAGGCTCTCGCCCTGGTGAAGTCGGAGCTACAGAAGAGACACACGTGCACAGACCTGGGTGAACTGCGCAGTTACCTTGGCTTGCAGATCACCCGGGACAGAGCACGGCGCACCATCACACTGACTCAGTCACGCATGGTGCAGCAGGTCCTTCAGCGCTTCGGCTTCACCTGGTCCTCGCCACAGTCCACTCCTCTGGCTACAGGTCACTCGCTCTCAGCTCCACCTTCGGACGAGTCCGTAGAGCCGAGTGGTCCGTACCCAGAGCTAGTGGGCTGCCTCATGTACCTGATGACCTGCACTCGTCCTGACCTTGCGTACCCTCTTGGTCTTCTGGCTCGCTACGTGGCTTTTGGTAGGCACTGACCAGAGCACATGGCTGCTGGTAAGAGGGTACTGCGCTACTTGTGCTGTACATAGGGCATGGGGCTCATGCTTGGAGGGCGGAGCCCAGTTGTCCTCACTGGGCACTCAGACGCTTCTTGGGTTGACGACCTGGCTACGCAGCGGTCATCACAGGGTTACACCTTCAGCCTTGGCTCTGGCTTTGTTTCTTGGCGGTCTACACGCTCGTCTTCTGTTCTCAGCTCCAGTTGTGAGGCTGAGATCTACGCCACAGCCATGGCTGCACAGGAGTTACGCTGGCTTACCTACCTGCTGACCGACTTGGGAGAGAGGCCTCGTTCTCCTCCAGTTCTATACGTCGACAACAAGGTTGCCATGGGAGAGAGGCTCTATACGTCGCACGGTGTTTAGGGTTGAGGCTCCCTTGGATGGCATGCCATCCGATGGGGTTTTAGTTTTTTTCCGCCCGCCGGTCGTCGACGAGCGACGGCCGGTTCCGTTGAGACACACAGCAGCGTGGTCAGCTTGTGTCGCTCACGTGCCCACCCGGGCCAACACAGCTGATGTGTTCACCAAGGCCCTTCCGGCTGGTGATCATCAGCGCTTTTGTACTGCTCTAGGCCTGGTGCCTACGTTTCCTCACTTGCTGTAGACTCTGGTTGTACTGTGATCTATATATGTATACCTGCATGTTTACTCGTGCTAGGAAGTAATCACTGTTTTATTGTTGTTGCATATATACCTCTGCATGTGAACTGGCCTTGTGGCCCCTTGCTTGTGTTCGAGTGTGTGGTAACGTTGTGATCCACCCTGAGCTTGCTTTGCTTTGCTTTTCTTGACTGGTCTTGTGACCCCTTGTTCTCCCCCACTTTGCCTATGGGGGTGTGTCAAACCATATATATGATTTATAATAAGGTTTAGGCTTTAGTGGGGTAGCCAATGTACGGTACAACCCCTTAGGGTTCTCACTCTTGTACCCCTTTCTCTCGATAGTCAATCTCACCTACTCTAACATATGGGACACGTGGGTGTATTGTGAAACAGGTGGGTGCTGTCCATTGCGAGGCAAGTGGATTGCCATGGCTGCCTTCTCTCAAGGGGGTCTTTTCTGCTGCTGCGGGCACAATCTGATGCTACTGCTACTAGTGAGATCTTCTGCTGCTGCAGGCACGATCTGTTTCACCCCGTTGCACCCTCATGTCGCTCCCTCTTGTCGCACCCTAGCCGCAGCCTCTTCATGCTCTCCTGTCGCGCCCCAGCCGCGGCCCAGTCATACCCCAGCCGCAGCCCCGTCGCGCCCTCCGGTCGTGCCCAAACTTCACCATGTAAAAACTCCCTCTCACGACCATGCACCCTGCCATGGTTATCGCTGAGGGGGGGGGGGTCCGCGAAGGTGGCAGCCTCGGTGCTGTGGGGGAGGGTGGCACCATCTTTTCATGCTGAACGCTTTCTAGCCACCTCTCTGCCACGCCCTTGTTGACGAGTAAAAACCCCGCCCTTGCTTGGGCGAAAACGACATCGTCTTCCGACGAGCAAGGGGTGCAGCCGGCTAGGCTTCGTGGTCGGCGTCGACTTGGAGGAGCAAGCTGGCTTAGTTGGCCGACCTCAGTATAGCCCACTGCGGCGAGGCTACCTTAGATGAAGCCGGCCACGACGAAGCCGGCCATTACGCAGTTGACTTCGGCAAGGCCGGCTCGAAGCGGCCTATACTTTGGCCGACAAAGAGAAATCGGCGGAATGTGTCGAGCCTTGACGGTTAGCGAATGCGGTGTTTGACATGGCACCGACCCGTGGGCATCAGGTGGCCCACAAAGTTGGCAAATGTTGGCACCGGCTTGGCGGCCTTTTTTGGTCGACCAGGCAATCGGCCAACGAAGTTCTGCAGGGGTGGCAAACTTCGCTGCCAGTTGGTTTTGACGAAGTTTTCCTGCTTGGTGATAATCACGTGGTTGACGTGGCACCCGGTGGAGCAACCATGGACATTTGGTCGACCTGGGCATCTGCGGAATGTGACTGATGGGAAACCGTCTACTTGCACCTACTTGGTAGGTGCATACATGTGCGCACAAGGACACTTGCGGTTGCAATGCTAGCAAGCCGACTTGCTGCAGCATTGGCAAGCCACCCTGTTGCAACACTGGCAGGTCTTCGGCTTGCACCGCCAGCAAGCTGCCCTCGTGCTACGTTGGAGGTCGACCTATCTGCGTGCTAGGTTGCCTTGCATCCAATGTAGGTGACCTGCCTAACCATTGTGTACCAATATTCTCTTTTAGTCGATAAAGTGCTTCCCGACTTTCTCAGTGAACATGCAAGTAGTGAGAAGACGAGCAAACCTTTGATCACTCGTACCACCCATCCCTTCTCACGTAGTATAACTGTCTTGGTGTAAAGTGACTCTCCGTATGGTGCTGTGAGCGTGAACGACCTCGAGTTTAGACCTTTGCATAGTATACATCTTATTGCCTACCAATACCATTAATAGGCCAAAAGCCATCTTAGTCCCAATGGCAGACCACGGGGCCGAAGCAGGCATAGCGGATACCCTGCAGGCGAGAGAGGCTGATGTTCGGAGGTGCCACACGGCTAGCGAGTATGGAGAGGCAAGCTTAGAGCTTATGCTCATGGAAAATCGTGCGAAGTGAGCAAATGGTCACCCCCCTTTCCATGGTGAAGTGTATGGTGCGTTCGCCTCTCCCCGACCAGTGCACAACAAAGGCGGCGACGACCAAGTTGACGACGGAGGCACGAGGGTGACTCAATTTTTTTTTTTGGGCAGCCAACGTCAGTGTCGGCGGCATGCAGGCGCAAGTGCTGCGGTCGACGGTGACTGCAGGAAGCTTGCACTTTGGCGTTGATGGTCAACGTTGTTCTCCCCAACGAAGTAGAGTCAGGCAGACTTCCATGTCAAACAATGTTTTATAGATTATATAGGCTGTAATGAGGCATCCCAAAAAGTACACAAAATACTCTCGACACCTTTTTGTGCCCCTCCTCCCTTACCCTAATGCATCACTTTTCTCCTTACCCTCCTAGTCTAAATAATTCTTTAGAGTTCGCTACTCATAATGTCGGCTGGTCGAGATGGCGGCATCACGCCGGTGTATTGTAAGAAGGCTTAGGGGGAATGAGAAAACTATGTCAACTGTGGGGTACAACCCCCTTGGATGCAACTCACTATAGTCCAGGTAGTAATACAAATATAATCTGACACAACCCGACAGGCTAAGTGAGGGGCATTAAAACCATCAAGTCAAAGAAGAGCCCGTAGCCGCGGCGAGGCAGCAGCACGCCCCTCACCGCCTGCTGGTACCGCTGCTGCTTCTCTCGATACACCTCCCTCAGCCGCCGCTTCCGCCTGCTCGCATGGCACATGGGCGATGGGGAAAAGGAAGGGCGCACATACGTGAGACAAGGGTGCGGGCACCGTGGGACTAAAAGGCAATAACGAGGAAGTGTGAGCAAGACGGTTGGGCAGTTGGAGCGTGCAAGAGCATGGGGGGTGGGGGAGCCCTCACTTGGGGCTGGCGTGGTTGAGGTGCTGCATGCGCTTCTCATGCTCGCGCTGGTGCAGCGACACAAAGTGCTTCCTCAGCGCTGCCGCCCCGCTGCACCGCCGTCCGCACAGCTCGCACCGCACCTCCTGCAGTGGTGCCCTTGACTCGGAACACGGTGCTCTGCTTGAAGAGAATCAGATTGGTCACGCCCTGCTGCCTCAGCTTATCCAGCTTCTCACAACCACACACAACTACATCCACACCCACCTGCAGCAGTGCCCTTGACTCGATACACGGTGCTTTGCTTGAAGAGAATCAGGTTTGTCACGCCCTGCTGCCTCAGTTTGTCAAGCTTCACCCTCACCCACGTGTTGTGCTGGTCGGCTATCTATTTTCCCACACGCACACAACCGCACACAGCCACACATGGAGAGGCACACACCCACCTGCAGTGGTGCCCTTGACTCGGTAAACAGTGCTCTGCTTGAACAGGATCAGATTCGTGACCCCCTGCTGCCTCAGCTTATCCAGCTTCAGAGCCCTCGCATAGATCCCGGCCTTATAGTTGGAACACAGAAGACAAACAGATGGACCTCCAGGAGCTAGAACTAGCACTGAGATTGAAGGTGTAACCCAGTGTCGACTGCTGAGTCTCCTAGTCGTCAACCGAAGAAGCTTGTGAGTGCCTTGTAAGCACAACTTAACCCCGACCCTCAAGTACGTTCACCATGCCTGATATAGTGAACAAGTAATGCAGTACCCTCTGGGCAACCCGCCAGTGCGCAGGGCGGTGTCTTCCAAGCGCAACTTAGCGCGCCAGGATGCTGAGAGGGTATGCAGGCTCAGGTCGAGTGCATTTCATCAGTACATTAGCCAGCCCACAAGCTCTGGATATGGACCACTCGGCTCTACGGACTCGTCCGAAGGTGGAGATGAGAGTGAGTGGTTCGTAGGCAGAGAAGTGGACTGTGGCAAGGTGAACTAAAAGCCAAACCAGTGAAGAACCTGTTGCACCATGTCTGACTGAGACGGAGTGATGGTGCGTGCCGCTCTGTCTCGGGTTATCTACAAGCCAAGATAGCTCCGCAGCTCACCCAAGTCCGTACAGGTGTGTCTCTTCTGCAATTCGGCCTTTACAAGGGCCAGTGCCTCAATGTCAGCAGTAGCAAATACCAAGCCCTTTACAAGGGCCAGCGCGTCGGAGGCTGTGTTGGATACCCTCAGAAAAAAACGACCCAGTAAAGCCATAAGGGCGGTGCAGCCATATCTCCTCGTGAAGGCTGCCCGGCAAGAAAGCTGTGGAGAAGTCAAGTGAGTGCAGCTCATAGTCACGTTGTATTGCAACGTGCAAAACACCCGAAGAGGTGGGGGAGAAGGTGTGGAAGAAGTCGACCCCCTGCCGCTCATTGAAGCCTCGTGCAACGTAACGCACCTTGAAGGCAAGCGGAGTACCCGGCGTCTGCTTCACCATGAAAATCCACATGCCATTGACTATGTAATTGTCCCACGAGGGGGAACCCCGTCAACGTACGTGCATGTGGACTTCCAGGATGCCATCTTTACGTCAATGGCTGTTTGCCACTGAGTTGAGTACTGACCCGTGATCGCCTCTGCGTAAGAGCGCGGGGTTGGGATGTCCGATGCATCCGGGTCTCCCTTAAGAGCAAGAAGCATAGCAACGAGACAAGGTATAGCAGCCGAAAGACATTCCGGCTGAGACTACATGTCCTCAAAGGCGTCCTACAAGGACAGGACGCGACGCGTTGCCGAGTGGTAAAAACCGCCATCCAAACGCGTTAGTGGGAAAGCGAAGAAAGTCGTAGCGAAAGGTGCGAGAAAAGAGTTTTCCCGCGGTAGTATCGCGGACAAGGGCAAGCAAACCCCAGACCCGAAACGCCGATGCATCGCCAACCTCCCCCGTCCAATGCAGTGTAGGCGAGGTCTCTGGGTCGGAGTCACGAGGCCAGAGGTTGAGCTGATGCGCCGCAAATCCAACCACAAATTGCCACAGAAAATGGTGCGAAGCCGCATGGATCATGGAGGTGTGAGCATCTTCCATGACCAAGCCAATGCGGTGCTCAGATATCCCATTCCGCTGTGCCGAAATTCGGCACGTCCTCATTACATGGATAGAGTCCATCGAGCTGAAGCTGAAATCGTTGGTCTAAATACAGAATATTTCTGGCGTATGCGAGACGTTCGTTGCTGAGCCACATCGTCGACGACGAATTACTGCACATGTCATAGTTTAGGAAGAGTGTATGTTGTCTACTACGAAAATAACAAAATTCCATTATAATTGGAAGCTATTATGAAAGGAAGATTTGCAAGTATTGTTAATGAATATATCGCAAAATCTTAATATGACCTTTCATTTTATGAGATTCCGGTTTGCCATATATGTGAAAAGGTATGTTAATAACTATAATTTGAGGTGAGCGTTGGTGCTTCATGCTATGTATATAACAGAAGCACCTGTTATTTCGCTGTAGCTATACGAGGCTATTGCTTCTTGCGAAAGGATATTTTCGTTCAGATTTGTCGCAGCCGTTTCCCGAAACCTCTCGCCCCGTCGAAATCGTTGCATACTGGAGCGAAAACAAATCAGCCGCTGATATTGCGGTTGTTCCCTACGCCCCAAAATCCTCGTTAGCCAATCCGGTGCCGCTGAGTGGAAAGCTGGGGATAAGGCGAGCAACTCCAGGGTTCAATCAGAGGGGACCACCACCATCCAACGTACTCGTGCCTGCATCGTCCATCCAAAAGATAGTGGACTGCCTCCCTCCAGTTTGACGCCTGGTAGCATTCTCCTTTTCGATCTCTTCAGCTCAACACAGCTACCTCGTCCACCTCCACACAGCTCAATGGCTGCCCTCGCCTCCTCCCTCAGCTCCGTTGCTGCCGCAGCACCCCTGAAGGTGGCTGTCAGCAGCAAGGTCTCCACCTCCCGTGCTGTGAGGTTGACCGTCCGTGCCGAGGAGAAGGCCGCTGCCGCTGCTCCGATCGGCCCCAAGCGCGGTGCCACCGTGAAGGTCCTCAGGCCCGAGTCGTACTGGTTCAATGACACCGGCAAGGTCGTCTCCGTTGACCAGGTGGGCAGAAGTATTTACTGTCGTAGGTAGATTTTTTGGTCGGATTGCCTAGGCATAAATCATTTCCTTCCCAACTTCGTCACTTACCTTTCCCATTCTCTTGTGCAATGCAGAGCGGCATCCGCTACCCCGTTGTCGTGAGATTCGAGAAGGTGAACTACGCCGGCGTGTCCACAAACAACTTCGCTGTGGACGAGGTCGTTGAGCTCTAAATGTACAGCGGCTAGTAAATTTCTACTCTGTATGGCCTTCTGAGTAATTAAGCTGCCTTCACACTTCCCGTTTTGTTTAGGTGGTACTATTGTCAAGATATACACGGGAAACTGATCTGCATTTATTCGTTGCTTTAATCGTCATAAAACAACACGAAAGTTCGTGGTGAAAATGTCAAGATAGCATAGCTCAAAGCGTAGTACGACTAAAGCGTTTTAACGACCTGTCAATTAGTAGGACGTCCTCAAGCTCAGATCCTGGCCGTAATCTGCAAGCGTATACCCCCTGTGAGTCACCTCAACGACACCTTGGCCGCAGGCATCAACCAGCACTTGGTTTGTCGAAAATTAGTATCTGATAGCCACACCAAGAGAGGAACTCGACCTAAGCTTGAGACAGACATGCAGAAAATACCATTTACAATGATAAGAACAGCAGTTGCATATTACTTTGTTCAAACATTCAGGCTAATGGATTCTGGAGGCAGTCATCAACGACTCTCCTAAACAGCCCTCTGACCTCTGCCAGATCCTCCTCCACCCCTTTCAACTCTGCTGCCATCTCCTTTGCTACTGCCTCGTTCTCAGCATTCAGCTCTGCTATTCTTTGAAGCTGCTCCTCTTCTGTCAAGTCGATGTCAGGAGGTAACGCATCCACAAGCATGTCAAAAAGCTTCAACGCCTGAACTATGGCTGACGCCATTTCAGGAACCTGTTCTATTACAGGGACGGCTGGTGCCGCAGCGACCGATGAGTCAGTTCCTGCTGCGGCGGTTCCTTCTGCACCAGGCCCAACGGCACCGTTAGGGGCTGCGGCTCCGTTAGCTACTGCGCCTGGCCCCGTTGAAGCAGCAGTTGGTATGGCGGCGCCTGTGTTCCCTGGTCCAGTGCCTGTAACCGGCTGACCGATTCCAGGTGCAGCTGGTGTGGTTGGCGCGGGAAGAGGTTTGCCGGGAATGGTTGACGGAGTGGCGTCTCGTTGGAGTGTGCCGACAGTGTTGAAAAGGAGGAAAGCGATGTGGTTGGTGTGGTCCTGGAGCTGTGATACTATGTCCATGGAGATTTCCGAGAGTTGATGTAAAGAAAGGAAAAAAGAGCGTTACGGTATGTATAGCGTAGGACGTCCAACGTGGTAGACGTGACAAACAGGGCCTAAGAGACGATGACGAACCGCAGGCCCTAATCTCCACGCAAACCTACTGTTCCGTAGGATATATCGGAGCGGACATCGGAGCGGTGTAGCAATGAATGGAAATCTGTGTCAAGAATTATGGAACCGGAGGAATGTAAATGATTTTGGAGAGCACTTCAGCGGGGATAAATGTCAGATGGTTCGGAGGGGTCTTACGTGGCGGCACTTTCGGCTTCATATTCACTTCTGTCACACCTCATCTGCCAAAATAACAGGAAAACTGCAATAGCTTCGCTGTTGGCTAACCTGAAGCTGATTTGTGATTGTATAAACACAAGCGGGGTGGTGTTGAAGTGATATACAAAGGTTTTGCCTGTTTTGATCACGTTTCAGATCGGTAAATTAGCATAATTTTTTGAATCGTCTCGCAGGCTGCATCTCCTTACATCCTGGACACCCCACTATCAAGCCATTTTGGGGACTTGATCCTCCTTATCATTCGTCCTACAGGCGAATCGCCGCCGTTGATTGCACCTGCGCCACGGCGCACAGCACTTTCCTCCTCCCGTGCCGCGCGATCAACCTAACAGGCCAATCCCGCTCGCAATGGCGGCTGCAGTCACTGAGAAAATCTCCGTTAGCTGCCGGCAGCTAACCGGAAACGTGACGGTTGGGTCAAATGGACGGAGGAGCGTCAGCCTCCAGACGCGGTACGACGGTTAACAACCAGCTGCCGGTGTTAGTCGAGCAATTCATGTCGCGATTATCCTTCAATGGGGATTCCCTGGGTCACGATTCCCTGGGTGACAATCTCAGCTTCCTCTCGTGCAGTTACCGGAAGGCATTTGAGACGTTGCAAAAGATGATTGAGTATCCAATAATGCGTGTTGCGCTTCCATGCGTTTCCGTGTGTTGCCTGTGTCGATCCCAGCTTCCTCTCCCGCGGTCAGCGGAAGGAGCTCGCCGCGCTGCGCGTCCAGCTCAGGAAATCCGCGGCTCGCTCTGGTGAGTGTGTCTTAAGGGTCTCCTGTTGAGTTTGCGGAATACAGTTTGTTACGGCGTTGAAACTTCCACGTGCCGTTCCGCCGTTTCATTCAGTGCAAAGCTCAGGCCAAAAATGTCCTCTGCGTTCGTTGTCACACGATCGGTCGTCGTCTCTTTAGGCGCCCAGTAACCTCAGGGTTTCGTTCACCAGATGTTACCAAATTAACTGAGATTTCGTCAATTTCACAATGAGTCGAGCGAAACCACCCTCGCCGCCCTCTCTAAACCCCAGCAAGCAGTGTTGACTCGCAGGATTCGCCATCTAATGCACGCGTCTCCTCTCCTCCCACCACCTGTCTGTAGATCTTGTCTCCCCCCAGCAGCAGTGATTGTTGCAACAACAACCGCCCGTGAGCGCGCTAGAGCTACAGAAGCATCGCATGGTGTATTTGGGAATTCTCAAAAAACACCCAGCTACAGAAGCATCGCACACGGCAGCCATCTACAGTGGCGAGCCTTTTCTTTTTCAGAATGCATGATTTTCCTCTCCCCCGCCTGTCCTCCCCTTCAGTGGTGGCAGTAGCAGCAGCAGCAGCGCGCCCCCCAGTGGCAGCAGCGGCGCACACAGCGGAGGCGGTGGAGAGCTTGAAGCTGGAGCCTGTCTCTCAGATCAGCGGCACCGTCAACCATGCTTTCCCCTCCCTCGCTTGTTCTCCCCAACAGTGGTAAAAGCAGCAGCGCGCCCCCAATTAGCGGCAGCGGCACACACAGCAGAGGCGGTGGAGAGCTTGAAGCTGGAGCCTATCGCTGAGATCAGCGGCACCGTCAACCTGCCCGGCTCCAAATCCCTTTCCAACCGCCTTCTGCTGCTCGCTGCTCTTGCCAAGGTATGTTAGAAGGCTCTCCCCCCCTTTCCTTGTGTGCTGTGAGTCAGATCAGCGGCACCCACCCACCCACCGTCAACCTGCCCGGCTCCAAATCCCTCTCCAACCAACCGCCTGCTGCTGCTCGCTGCCCTCGCCAAGGTATGCTAGTAGAAGGCCGCTCTCGCTGTGGGGGCTAGAAGGTGTCTCCTCGCCGTCCCTCCCCGTCCCTGGCCTCATACCTCGCTTCACTGGAGTCAGATCGGATCAATCAATCAAGGCACCGTCAACCTGCCCGGCTCTAAGTCCCTCTCCAACCGCCTGCTGCTGCTCGCTGCTCTTGCCAAGGTGGGTTGGGTTGGAAGGGCGCTGTTGCTGTTCCCACCCACCCACCCACCCACCCACCCACCCACCATCAACCTGCCCGGCTCCAAATCCCTCTCCAACCGCCTTCTCCCGCGCTGCCTGGGAGTGCCTCTGGTGGAGATGCCTGAGAAGCGTCATGCACTCACGTCTATTGCCCCCCCTCCTCCCCCCTCCCCTTCCGCCCAGGGCGAGACGGTGGTGGATAACTTGCTCGCGAGCGACGACGTGACCTACATGCTCGCTGCTCTGCGCGCCCTGGGAGTGCCCCTTGTGGAGATGCCTGAGAAGCGGAGGGTCATAGTCACCGGTAGCGCAGGGGTGTTCCCCGTGGGGAGGGAGGAGGAGGGGGAGGAGGGAAAAGAGGCGGAAGTGGTGGATCTGTTCCTGGGGAACGCGGGGACGGCTATGCGCCCGCTTACTGCTGCTGTGGCCGTGGCTGGGGGCAACAAGAGGTAAGGCCGGCAGGGAGGAGAGGGGAGGGCGCGGAAGTGGTGGATCTGTTCCTGGGGAACAGAGTCAAGACATCTCAAAACACTTCTTACGCACGGCCATGCGCACTACTTCTTTGGACGAGGCAAAGGGTTTCAAGCGGGTAACCAGGTAATCCCCGTAACCTTTCACCCCACCAACTATGTGTTAAACGGAGTTCCCACTCCCCTTCTCTCTCCACTCCCCATCCCTCCCACCAGCTATGTATTGTACAGAGATCCCAGGATGCGTGAGCGTCACATATTGGACCTGCTGGAATTTTTTTGTTCGACTCAAAAATCGACTCATCACACGTGTATTGTCCGGGGTTCCCAGGATGCGTGAGCACCCCATAGGCGACCTGCTGGCAGGGCCGCAGCAGAGCGCCTATAAGTGTCTCCACACTCCCTTATACCGCATTTCACCCCTCCAGCTACGTGCTTGATGGAGTTCCCAGGGTGCGGGAGCGACCCATAGGGGACCTGCTGGCGGAGCTGCGGCAGAGCGCCTATGAGTCTCTCCACACTCCCTTATACCGCATTTCACCCCTCCAGCTATGTGTTGTACGGGGTTCCGAGGATGCGTGAGCGACCCATAGGCGACCTGCTGGTGGGGCTGCAGCAGAGCGCCAATAAGTCTCTCCACACTCCCTTGTACCGCATTTCACCCCTCCAGCTACGTCCTGGGCGGAGTTCCCAGGATGCGTGAGCGACCCATAGGCGATTTGGTGGCGTGGCTGCAGCAGCTGGGGTGTTGCTGCGAGTACCGATAAGTCTCTCCACACTCCCTTATACCGCATTCCGCCCCTTACCCACCACTCTGCACCCCACCTTTCCCACCAGCTACGTGCTTGATGGAGTTCCCAGGATGAGGGAGCGACCCATTGGCGATTTGCTGGCGGGGCTGCAGCTGCTGGGGTGTTGCTGCGAGTACCGATAAGTCTCTCCACACTCCCTTATACCGCATTCCGCCCCTTACCCACCACTCTGCCCCCACCTTACCCACCAGCTACGTGCTTGATGGAGTTCCCAGGATGAGGGAGCGACCCATTGGCGATTTTCTGGCGGGGCTGCAGCTGCTGGGGTGTCACTGCAAGTGCTCCCTGGACAATAAGCTTCCCCCTACCTTTACCAACTCCCTGTCACCGCTCTGCACCACAGCTACGTGCTTGACGGGGTTCCCAGGATGCGTGAGCGGCCAATTGGCGATTTGGTGGCGGGGCTGCAGCAGCTGGGGTGCGACTGCGAGTGCTCTCTTGGAACCAACTGCCCGCCCGTGCGCGTGGCAGCCAAGGGGGGACTCCCTGGCGGCACGGTAAGTGGATTGGGGGTCCTGGGGGTGATAGGCAGGACAGAAGTAGCAGCAGCAGCAACACAACCAGCTGGGGTGCGACTGCGAGTGCTCTCTTGGGACCAACTGCCCCCCTGTGCGCGTGGCGGCCAAGGGAGTCCTTCCTGGCGGCACGGTAAGTGGATTGGGGGTCCTGGGGGTGATAGGCAGGACAGAAGTAGCAGCAGCAGCAACACAACCAGCTGGGGTGCGACTGCGAGTGCTCTCTTGGGACCAACTGCCCCCCTGTGCGCGTGGCGGCCAAGGGAGTCCTTCCTGGCGGCACGGTAAGTGGATTGGGGGTCCTGGGGGTGATAGGCAGGACAGAAGTAGCAGCAGCAGCAACACAACCAGCTGGGGTGCGACTGCGAGTGCTCTCTTGGGACCAACTACCCCCCTGTGCGCGTGGCGGCCAAGGGAGTCCTTCCTGGCGGCACGGCAAGTGGATTGGGGGTCCTGGGGGTGATAGGCAGGACAGAAGTAGCAGCAGCAGCAACACAACCAGCTGGGGTGCGACTGCGAGTGCTCTCTTGGGACCAACTGCCCCCCTGTGCGCGTGGCGGCCAAGGGAGTCCTTCCTGGCGGCACGGCAAGTGGATTGGGGGTCCTGGGGGTGATAGGCAGGACAGAAGTAGCAGCAGCAGCAACACAACCAGCTGGGGTGCGACTGCGAGTGCTCTCTTGGGACCAACTGCCCCCCTGTGCGCGTGGCGGCCAAGGGAGTCCTTCCTGGCGGCACGGTAAGTGGATTGGGGGTCCTGGGGGTGATAGGCTAGGCAGTAGGAGCGGCTGCAGCAGCTGGGGTGCGACTGCGAGTGCTCCCTGGGCACCAACTGCCCGCCTGTGCGCGTTGCAGCCAAGGGAGGGCTCCCTGGCGGCACGGTGAGTGCGAGTGTTACCATTGCCATTGCCGTTGCCGTTGCCGTTGCCGTTGCCGTTGCCATTGCCGTTGCCATTGCCATTGCCATTGCCATTGCCATTACCATTACCAGTACCATTACCATTACCAGTACCATTACCATTACCATTACCATTACAATTACCATTACCATTACCATTACCATTACCATTACCACTACCATTACCATTACCATTACCATTACCACTACCATAGCCGTTACCATTACCGTTACCATTACCGTTACCATTACCATTACCATTACCAATACCATTCTTATTACCATTACCATTACCATCACCATTACCATTACCATTACCACTACCATTACCATTACCATTACCATTACCACTACCACTACCATTACCATTACCACTACCATTACCATTACCATTACCACTACCATTACCATTACCATTACCATTACCATTACCATTACTATTACCATTACCACTACCATTACCATTACCATTACCATTACAATTACCATTACCATTACCATTACCATTACCATTACCAGTACCATTATTGTTACCATTACCGTTACCATTACCATTACCATTACCGTTACCATTACCATTACCATTACCATTACCATTACCATTACCGTTACCATTACCATTACCATTACCATTACCATTACCGCTACTATTGCCATTGCCATTACCATCCCAGCCAGTACCTCACGGCCCTCCTCATGTCGCTCCCCTTGGCCAAGGGCAATCTATTGAGGTGATCCACAAGCTGTCTCATCCCCGTGCCTCGTCTCATCCCTATCCTTCCCTTCTGCTACCATACACGACCTTCCCCACGCGCCCCTCCCCCAGGTGAAGCTGTCAGGGGCAGTGAGCAGCCAGTACCTCACAGCGCTCCTCGTGTCAAAAGGGGCCTGTGTGAGCTGTCAAAAGCAACCTGGTTGCTTTGAGAGGGTCGATGCCTCCTTTGAGAGGATCGATAAGCTGGTGTCAGTTCCCTGGGTGGACTTGACCCCCTGTCTGTCTCCCTGTTGTTGCGTTCCCTTTCCCCACTCCCCCCTCCCCAGGTGAAGCTGCCAGGAACAGTGAGCAACCAGTACCTCACTGCAGTGCTCACATCCCTTCCCCTCACAATCAACCGTTCCCCACCCATCCTCACTCCTCCACCCCCCCCCTCCACTCCCCCAGGTGAAGCTGTCAGGGGCAGTGAGCAGCCAGTATCTCACACCGCTCCTTATGTTCCTTCCCCACACAATCAACCGTTCCCCACCCATCCCCACTCCTCCATCCTCCCCCTCCCTCAGGTGAAGCTGTCAGGGGCAGTGAGCAGCCAGTATCTCACAGCGCTCCTTATGTTCCTTCCCCACACAATCAACCGTTCCCCACCCATCCCCACTCCTCCATCCTCCCCCTCCCCCAGGTGAAGCTGTCAGGGGCAGTGAGCAGCCAGTATCTCACAGCGCTCCTTATGTTCCTTCCCCACACAATCAACCGTTCCCCACCCATCCCCACTCCTCCATCCTCCCCCTCCCCCAGGTGAAGCTGTCAGGGGCAGTGAGCAGCCAGTATCTCACAGCGCTCCTTATGTTCCTTCCCCACACAATCAACCGTTCCCCACCCATCCCCACTCCTCCATCCTCCCCCTCCCCCAGGTGAAGCTGTCAGGGGCAGTGAGCAGCCAGTATCTCACAGCGCTCCTTATGTTCCTTCCCCACACAATCAACCGTTCCCCACCCATCCCCACTCCTCCATCCTCCCCCTCCCCCAGGTGAAGCTGTCAGGGGCAGTGAGCAGCCAGTATCTCACAGCGCTCCTTATGTTCCTTCCCCACACAATCAACCGTTCCCCACCCATCCCCACTCCTCCATCCTCCCCCTCCCCCAGGTGAAGCTGTCAGGGGCAGTGAGCAGCCAGTATCTCACAGCGCTCCTTATGTTCCTTCCCCACACAATCAACCGTTCCCCACCCATCCCCACTCCTCCATCCTCCCCCTCCCCCAGGTGAAGCTGTCAGGGGCAGTGAGCAGCCAGTATCTCACAGCGCTCCTTATGTTCCTTCCCCACACAATCAACCGTTCCCCACCCATCCCCACTCCTCCATCCTCCCCCTCCCCCAGGTGAAGCTGTCAGGGGCAGTGAGCAGCCAGTATCTCACAGCGCTCCTTATGTTCCTTCCCCACACAATCAACCGTTCCCCACCCATCCCCACTCCTCCATCCTCCCCCTCCCCCAGGTGAAGCTGTCAGGGGCAGTGAGCAGCCAGTATCTCACAGCGCTCCTTATGTTCCTTCCCCACACAATCAACCGTTCCCCACCCATCCCCACTCCTCCATCCTCCCCCTCCCCCAGGTGAAGCTGTCAGGGGCAGTGAGCAGCCAGTATCTCACAGCGCTCCTTATGTTCCTTCCCCACACAATCAACCGTTCCCCACCCATCCCCACTCCTCCATCCTCCCCCTCCCCCAGGTGAAGCTGTCAGGGGCAGTGAGCAGCCAGTATCTCACAGCGCTCCTTATGTTCCTTCCCCACACAATCAACCGTTCCCCACCCATCCCCACTCCTCCATCCTCCCCCTCCCCCAGGTGAAGCTGTCAGGGGCAGTGAGCAGCCAGTATCTCACAGCGCTCCTTATGTTCCTTCCCCACACAATCAACCGTTCCCCACCCATCCCCACTCCTCCATCCTCCCCCTCCCCCAGGTGAAGCTGTCAGGGGCAGTGAGCAGCCAGTATCTCACAGCGCTCCTTATGTTCCTTCCCCACACAATCAACCGTTCCCCACCCATCCCCACTCCTCCATCCTCCCCCTCCCCCAGGTGAAGCTGTCAGGGGCAGTGAGCAGCCAGTATCTCACAGCGCTCCTTATGTTCCTTCCCCACACAATCAACCGTTCCCCACCCATCCCCACTCCTCCATCCTCCCCCTCCCCCAGGTGAAGCTGTCAGGGGCAGTGAGCAGCCAGTATCTCACAGCGCTCCTTATGTTCCTTCCCCACACAATCAACCGTTCCCCACCCATCCCCACTCCTCCATCCTCCCCCTCCCCCAGGTGAAGCTGTCAGGGGCAGTGAGCAGCCAGTATCTCACAGCGCTCCTTATGTTCCTTCCCCACACAATCAACCGTTCCCCACCCATCCCCACTCCTCCATCCTCCCCCTCCCCCAGGTGAAGCTGTCAGGGGCAGTGAGCAGCCAGTATCTCACAGCGCTCCTTATGTTCCTTCCCCACACAATCAACCGTTCCCCACCCATCCCCACTCCTCCATCCTCCCCCTCCCCCAGGTGAAGCTGTCAGGGGCAGTGAGCAGCCAGTATCTCACAGCGCTCCTTATGTTCCTTCCCCACACAATCAACCGTTCCCCACCCATCCCCACTCCTCCATCCTCCCCCTCCCCCAGGTGAAGCTGTCAGGGGCAGTGAGCAGCCAGTATCTCACAGCGCTCCTTATGTTCCTTCCCCACACAATCAACCGTTCCCCACCCATCCCCACTCCTCCATCCTCCCCCTCCCCCAGGTGAAGCTGTCAGGGGCAGTGAGCAGCCAGTATCTCACAGCGCTCCTTATGTTCCTTCCCCACACAATCAACCGTTCCCCACCCATCCCCACTCCTCCATCCTCCCCCTCCCCCAGGTGAAGCTGTCAGGGGCAGTGAGCAGCCAGTATCTCACAGCGCTCCTTATGTTCCTTCCCCACACAATCAACCGTTCCCCACCCATCCCCACTCCTCCATCCTCCCCCTCCCCCAGGTGAAGCTGTCAGGGGCAGTGAGCAGCCAGTATCTCACAGCGCTCCTTATGTTCCTTCCCCACACAATCAACCGTTCCCCACCCATCCCCACTCCTCCATCCTCCCCCTCCCCCAGGTGAAGCTGTCAGGGGCAGTGAGCAGCCAGTACCTCACGGCCCTCCTCATGTCGCTCCCCTTGGCGAAAGGAGACAGCTCTATCGAGATGATTGACAAGCTGGTGTCCGTGCCCTATGTGGAGATGACTCTCCGCCTCATGGAGAGGTTCGGTGTGAACGTCCAGACGGAGGGCAATTGGGAGCAGTTCCTGATTCCGGGCAACCAGACCTACATGTGAGTTCGGTTGGAAGTGTTGGAGAGGGATGGAGAGCGGTGAGACGGGAACAAGCTGGTGTCCGTGCCCTATGTGGAGATGACTCTCTGCCTCATGGAGAGGTTCGGGTTGCACGTACAGACAGAGGGCAACTGGGAGCAGTTCCTGATTCCAGGCAACCAGACCTACATGTGAGTGCGGGCATGTGTCTGTGTGTTTGCACGCGCGCGTGCAAGTGTGAGGGAGTAAGTTTCTGAGTGTGTGTGTGAGTATGTGTGTGGGTGTGATAGAGTAAGCGCATTAGTTGAGAGATCTCATCGCTCATTACCCCACTCCACTCTCCCTCCTCTCCAGCCCCCCCGGGCGTGCCTTTGTGGAGGGCGATGCCTCCAGTGCAAGCTATTTCCCTCTCCCTCCTCATCATGCCGTCCCCCTCTACTTTTCCCGTTTTCCCCTACCCACGCCCCCGCTTCTCCCTCTCCAGCTCCCCTGGTCGGGCCTTTGTGGAGGGGGATGCATCCAGCGCCAGCTACCTCTCTCTCTCCTGACCTTGTCTTCCCGCTCCTCATGCCTGGTCGTGCCTTTGTCATCCTCCCTCTCCTCTCCAGCTCCCCCGGCCGAGCCTTTGTGGAGGGGGACGCATCCAGCGCCAGCTATTTCCTTGCTGGGGCTTCCATCACTGGAGGCACCGTCACGGTGCATGGGTGCGGGCGCAGCAGCCTGCAGGTGAGATGAGAATTGTGATGAGATGATTTTTGAGCCGTATACTAAGTGTTAGTAGTAGTGAAAGCGCCTGCCTTTCTCCCTCAGCAGCACCACCACTTTTCCATTCCTCCCCCCCTCAACTTTTTTACCTTCTTCTCTCCGCTTCGTCAACTTCACTCCCCCTTCCTCCACCTCCTCTTCTGTACTCGTTACAGGGTGATGTGCACTTTGCGTCAGTGCTCGAGCAGATGGGTGCTACAGTGACGTGGGCGGAGGAGAGTGTCACTGTAACGGGGCCTCCCCCAGCAGCCAATGGGAGCATCCGGCGGCTCAAGGGCATCGACGTCAACATGAACAAGATGCCAGATGTCGCCATGACATTGGCTGTCGTGGCTCTCTTTGCTGAAGGCCCCACTGCCATCCGTGACGGTGAGTTGGTATCTCATTTTAGTCACATCGCACATAAGCACGTCGCAGGAAAACTGGAGCCTCCTTAACCGCCTCTCTGCACGAAACTGACATGGCAATGATTCGCTCTTCCCTGTGCTGTGCCCTCTTGCGTTTCTTCCCGTGTGTCTCTGCAGTGGGGACTTTTGAGGCGCCTCAAAAGACGTCCGCAGGAAAACTAGAGCCTCCTTAACTGCCTCTCTGCACGGAACTGACATGGCAATGGTTCTGCTTTTGAGTCGACTCAAAAGCAGACTCAAAAGCAGAGTCGACTCAAAAGCTTTTGAGTCGACTCAAAAGCGCACGAAAACTAGAGCCTCCTTAACTGCCTCTCTGCACGGAACTGACATGGCAATGATTCGCTCTTCCCTGTGCCCTCTTGCATTTCTTCCCGTGTGTCTCTGCAGTGGGAACATGGCGTGTGAAGGAGACAGAGCGAATGATTGCCATTTGCACTGAACTGACCAAAGTGAGTGCCTCTGATGCCTTGTGCCTCTGCTGATTGTGGATCTCACATGTTTGCCTGTTATCCCATGTGTGCTACTCTTTGTGATAGGCTGAACCATCTATCTCCTCTCTGCATTTTCTCCCCTTTTCCAATTTCTCCTTTTGTTCTCAGCTGGGAGCGCATGTGGAGTACGCATCATCACGCCCCCGAAGCGTGTGCTTCCCTGAGGGCTGACCACAACATCACTTCCTGCTTGTCCTCCCCTTCCCCCTTTCCCTCAGCTGGGAGCGCATGTGGAGGAGGGTCCGGACTACTGCATCATCACGCCCCTGGAGTGCGTGCTTCCCTGAGGGCTGAACACATCGGCACTTCTTGCCTGATCTCTTCCTCCCCCCCTCCCCCTCCCCCCCCCCCCTTTCCCCTTCCCGGCGCCCCCCCATCCCCCCACCCCCTTCTCTTTTTCTCCCAGTTGGGAGCACATGTGGAGGAGGGTCCGGACTACTGCATCATCACACCCCCGGAGCGTGTGCTCCCCGCGGAAATCGACACTTATGACGATCACCGCATGGCCATGTCATTCGCCCTCGCCGCTTGCTCCGGAACCCCCGTCGTGATCCGCGACCCTGGATGCACGCGCAAGACCTTCCCCGACTATTTCGACGTGCTTAAGAGCGTTTCGCACTGAGAGGAGTTGTGCTGCTGAAGCTCTCACTTGCCCTGTTGTGCCTAGGGGCTCGTTACAGACCCACTGAGTCTGTCAAGGATCAGGTTCACTGAAGCATGTCATTTAGGTCAAGCAACTTCAGCCTAAAATTAAACTGGTAAATGCTTTTGAAATGGTACTGGATAGTGTGCCCTGACAAAATGATCATCTGTCAGATCCGGTGTCGATTGTGGCTTTGACGGGGACTTGTCCTGTCCTTGTCCTGTCCTTGGGCTTTCCAACATCAACCGGTGTGAAGGACGCTTTGTTGGATGAAACTCATCGGACGGCTGTGAGACACACACATGTCCAGTTTCCAAGGATCTTGGCCCATACTGGGGGAGCTGTGATGATTTGTGGTTCGCCTCCAAACGCAGCGATTGGTTCGAAAAATGGGGCATCGCAAGGCGTATTTACTTGTGGAACTCTGTTCTGTGCGCCAGGTTTCACTTTGGCTAATACTATTGGCACCCTTAATCCTTCACGTACGGAAAATGAAACTTGCCAGTTTTTAAATTCTGTGTGGGGCCGGATAATGGTCTGTTTCCAGTTTTTCAAAATCGCGCGTCATAGATTGAGATCTGGGTCACCTGGAGCAATGTGATCGGAGATTGTCAAGCCTAGCAGGCGACCCTACTCCCTGCACCCAGCCTCTCTGGTGATATCTGTGACTCCTCAAAAAGCATCGAGTAGTGTGTGTTATGGTAACCAGTGGTTCCACAGAAGAACCGTGGTTAATCGTGCAAAAACTTTTTGAAACGCACTTAAAAAACTGAAACCGAATTCTTTTGGAGGTTTAGCTGTTGATAACTCCGTACAACTCCCTCCATTCGGCTTCTGGAAGGCGTTTCACTCTTGCGTCCCTTTCGTTCTCCTTTGGCTGTGCGCTTACTGCAGCAGACAGATCTGTCCTTTCATCAAACGTTCAGTACACAAGACATTCCTTAGCAAGATATATTCTCGGCATCGTAACCTTCGCATATTAGGTTCTGACTATTCGTGACGCGTTGCTAGCTTTTCGCGATTTTCGTGCGCTACTCTAGCGTCGTTCGAGTCATTACAGCATATTCTGACAGCAACGCTGTGGGACAAGTTCTGGCACCATGCTCTTCCTCCTCTCATGGCCGCTCCTGTACGTTCGTCACCTCATCGTTGATCGTGGCGGCACCTTGAAGCCGGTCAGAGCTTCTTATTTTTCATCTTATTCTTCCAGAGATCTCTAACTCGTCACGTAGATCTACTACACCCTTTTTTTTGGTCTTCGCTCTGTCCTACTAGGATCGTACTCTGGTTAATTTCTCTCGCCATCTGCAGATCCCTGCTAGGGTATCTGTATCCAGCATGCGAATGTGTTTTTATCCTGCAGAGTAACCGATATGCTAAAAACTCTTCCCGCGTGCAGATCGCTGCTGGGGTACCTGTATCCAGCATACGCAACGTACAAGACCGTAGAGCGACGCTCGTCGGAACCAGATGATTTCCGCTTCTGGTGCAAGTACTGGTGAGTTTTCGTTATCTGTTTCCGTTACGTGTCTAAGCGTAGCAAATGTTTCGGTAACTGCAAGTGTGAATGGACTATGGGTGTATCCTGATGGTTACGATATACGCGTTGTAACCTCACCTATTTTCTCGATGATTTTTCCAGGGTGATCATGGCGGCATTCCACGTCTTGGAGAGCTGCCTTTTCTTCGGCCTTATCACCTGGTACGTTCAAATTAATCATCGAGAGGTGATGGTTGTGGGTTGTGCGTCCAGTCTGAAGCCGGCGCTATGCCCGTCCCAATATTCGCAGTTGTAGAAATTTCTTCTTTTCGTAGCTATCTGTGTGAATCGTTCCGTTTACCCGAGTGACAGCCTGAAACTGTCTCAGCATATCGAATCCTGAATTCCTGCGTATGTCGTTTTCGTTTCTCCAGGCTTCCGTTCTATGACGTCTTCAAGGTCCTCTTCTGCGTTTACCTCTGGCATCCGCGAACGCAGGTACGAATCCCCCTTTCCATTCTCTTCTCCTCAATTGTGTCGCTGTCATGGAATGCCGCTCCGGATGTTTCTTCCCGTTCGCTGTCATAAATGTCGGCGCTGCGTGCACCACTGTCTTTCACGGGTTGTCCGCGCTGTAAGGTTATGTGGTGACTCCGCTGTCTTTCATGATGTGTCCTGGATGCGTGTCCTGGATTCTTTGGGTTCCTGGTCTCTCCCTCGTATTTAGGTCCGCCCTCCCCCTCTCCTGTCCTTACGTTCCCTCAGGGCACTCTGTTGATCTACCACCGTGCCATCGTGCCTGCTTTGTCGCGCCACGAGCAAGAGATTGACCGCAGGATCGCGGAGGTGCAGACACGTGGCATGGATCTGGCCGTTGAGTACTCTCGCATTCTCGCATCTAAGATCATGTCTCTCGCCAAGGCGGGCGCCGAGGCCGCCCCTAAAGTCTACGAACGTTACCAGGTGAGCTAAACGACAGCAGGTGAGTGATTGGTAACATGTGAGCGAAACGTTGGCCAGTGAATGAATGGTAGCAAATGGACAGAACGACGTCAGGTGAACGAACGCTTCTAGGTCAATGAAAAACGTAATTAGGTGAGCGAAACGTCAACAGTTGGACTTAACGTCACCAGATAAGTGATGTTATCAGGTGAGCGAACGTGTACATATAAACCTGGGTCATGTATCAACACGTACATATGAAGGATGGTAATTACATGTGACTCACTGCAGGGTGACTGTGGCATTGACTCGAACGTCTCAGTGCTGCTCTTCAAATCGTACAGTCACTCACTTGCATTCTCAGATCTCCGCACCTTCCCACTGAGATGCAATTGAGTCGACGCAAAAGTCACCTCGTTGACTCGAACGTCTCAGTTCTGCTCTTCAAAACGTACAGTCACCGCACCACCTCACTAATCCGTGTGACGTTTCAGTGAGGTGATTATTCGGTCAATTCACTAGTCGCTCAATGGCAAGTGGTGACTGTAGGCGCTTCAAGGGGGTAAAGGTAATTGTACGCTCACATGGTGTATGCGAGCTTGGCGAAGTTGGTGGATTAGATGCCTCGGTGACCTTAAGAATGACACCACTTTAGTCAAGGGATGGTTACAGTTTTTGAGGGGTCATCCTGAACCAATGTTGCTGCAATATGCTGATTCAATCGGTGAATTGTTTGTCTGGCCTTCTTGTGCACAACATACTGGAGAACTCTTTCATCAGTGAATCGTTTTGCTGTGCATTTTATTCCCCTTTTTTTGTGTCCATCATTCCCCGCAGCAGCATGCTGCAGCTCAGCCTGCTGCTTCCACAGCACATACCTTGTGTTTTCCTGCGGAGCTGGGAGATAAGATCACGGGATTGGGGTACATTGACTGGACTAGTGGCTGACAAATGTTGTTGCCTGAGCGTCTTGTTTCCCGTATTCCATCCCTCATCCCCTGCAGCAACACGCTGCCGCCCAGCCTGCTGCGTCCACAGCATCAACCTCCTCGTATTCTTCTGGAGAGCTGGGAGATAAGATCACAGGCTTGGGGGACCCGGTGGACTATGACACTGGCCTTCGGGCACGCAAGCCAACTTCTGCTACTGGGATGGACTAGCCGATAGTATTAATGGAAAAATATGGCAATGCGACAAACTTCTATAGGGGTATGCATGGCTCGTATGCACCCACATTCACATGGTCAATGTGCATTGGTCAGGGCACCTTGTCCTGGCAACGTCTGCATAATATCCATTAACGTTTCTGCTGAAGTTGAATGCTCCATTCTCGCATGTAGTGCTAGATTACCCCATTTGTACAGACAAATGGTGCATGAAGTGAGTTTATGATTAGGTTGTTCTCACCCCATTTACAGAGATGTTTAGATCTATTGTTGTTACCATAGCGTATCCTGTCCATATTGCGGATCTTCTGGGGCATCCTTGTCCCTGGCTTGGAACAGTTTTTTTGCGGTAACCAGCAATCGGACAATATGGAACTGTCGAGGGGAAATCTGCGAAAGCTTTCGGCGGACATTTTCAGCGGATATGCGAAGTCCAGCGGAAAAACTACAGTCGCATTGCAGCAAAAACCTTGATCTTGGATCTCCTGGGGTTTCGTGCGGAGCTACTCCATCTGCTATCTCCTGCTGTTTCAGTTGATAGCTCCAATTCTGCCTCTTAGGCAGTATCACACAGCTAGATCCGGTGGGGAGCAGTCATAGGAAGGGAGAGATCGACTGCGCTGTGGGAGCAGTTAGGCAGTCGCTGACACTTGGCGCGTTCCTGATTCTGATTTGCTCGCCGTTGCCATGTAGTAAGTAATTTATATTTTTTTTTCTGTCTGAACAATACTGGTTGCAGGCGTCCTCCCGCAAGAACTTAGTGCTTTCTAGTGATTCGTGAGCTATTTTTTTATGTCACAAAATCGCTTGTCTGTGGTCACGACGCAATCTTAATCTGATGGTTATCTTGTGGGTCTTGTTGGCTTTTGAGTATCGTGAAACGGTTGCTGTCTCTTGCTTTGTATGTCTTCATGCTGTGATAAGTCAGTCTGGCAGCTCATGCTATGGAAGCGATTACAGAAACGATTACAGGGAAGGACATTTGAGACACCTCGAATGTTATTGCCGCTTGCTTTAATTGGACCTATTGTTACTTCTTGCAGTCGTTTCGGCAGCTCACGCTATGGAAGCGACTACTGACGCGATTACAGGGGAGGCGATTACAGGGGAGGACTTTATTGAGGAGCTCCGAATGTTGATGCCTCTTGATTCATGTGGACCTATTGTTCCCTCTCGCGTTGTGTGAAATTGTTGTTGTGATCAGTCGGTCCAGCGGCTCACGCTATGGAAGCGACTACCGAAGCGATTACAGGGGAGGTGACTATAGAGGAGGCGACTACAGGGGAGGCGGAGGCGGGTACCAGACTTCCGCTCGGCTTTACGTCGGTCGTCTGTCCACGCGGACTCGCACTCGCGACCTCGAGTCCCTTTTCGGGAAATACGGAAGGTAAGACGGGTACCAACTTTGGTACGGTAGTTATGTATTTTTTTTTTAAGAGATGAAACATGGTGTTCTGATGTACCGTGTCTCTGCAATGAAGAGATGGCTCCCATGAGGCTTCCTTAAGGTCGTCGACACATATAGTCGTCAACTCATGAAGTCGGCGATTCATAAGGACGTTGACGGGGGATCATCTATTGCGCTAACATCCCTTGCACATCCGTAACTTTCATGCTTAAGGTTATTGACTCCCTCTTTCATATCCACAAACCCACTACCCACATTCTTTCCGTTATAAGTCAATCGACCGGGTGCGTTTATCAAGTTTGGTCGGGTCGGTACTGTAGCATCCGGTGAGAAGCGAAACGGGTGAAACGCGAATCGGGTGAAACGCGAATCGGGTGAATTAAACGCCGGGTGAAACGCGCCTGCGTCGCTTCATGGTGCATGTATCGCGCGGTGCTGGTGTTGGTGTTTCCCTCGCTCGCTTCCCCGGGTGCTTCACGGTCTTGGTGGTTGCGATCGGTTTCCGGTGCTTCGCGTTGCAACATCGGTTCCGCTCTTGCTGACGTGGCCTGCCACGATTTGCTGCGAACATGATCTGGAAGCATTCGCGGAAGAAAATCGCGGAGATGCTTTTCGCTTGCCACGCGCGGGGTTGATCGCCGTCGTTTGCGCTTGGCGGGCGGTTTCGCGCGTCTCGCGGGCTTCCGGGCTCTTTGCGATCTTGCGCCTTTGCGGGGACGCGTAGCGCTTATCGAGTCGATGCGTGTTAACGGGGATGTCGCGCGCGGGTAACGCGCGGTTTCGCGGTGTTGCGTGTTGATTCCGACGGTTCTCAACGCAGCTTCACGGAACTTGTTCGGCTCTTCAGTGCGGTATGGTGTGGTTTGGTGCGGTTTCGGTGCCTGCTTTAGTCTTAGGTGAACTATTGGGAGTTTGCTGGTGGGTGGGTGTGTTTGGAGTGTACAGATGTTTCTCCCCCTGAGGAGACGAAAGGGCTTGATGCCTTTAGAACTAGCGCTTTCAGCTGAGCTAGATTTGCTGCTTTCTATTGCTTCTCGCTTTTCCTGCCGCGTTGTTTAACCCTCTCTCGCCTTCCGTCCTCTTCCTCCTCCCCCTCCGCCCGCTCGTTTTTGGTGCGTGCCCTTTTTTCTCCTTGTTCTCCGCCCGGTCTCTCTGGCTTGCAGGATTCGTGATGTGGACATGAAGCGTGACTATGCATTCATTGTGCGTAAGAACCTGGATAGGACGCGCTATATTGTTACTAGCAGTATTTGCCATTTTTTTTTTCTCCCTGCGTCTTACTGAGGACCTCAGTCCTCAGTTAGCCTCCGTTCCCGCTCCTCCTTTTCTTTCCATTCCATGCCCTGCATTTCTACCCACTTCTCTTTCTGCTTTGTACGACTGTTCAAAGCCGCCAGTGCTGACCATCAATGTTGTTTCGACACCAAGTAGTGCGTGTCGTCTATGGTTCATACATTTTCAAACAATTCTGCTGATTTTCTTCACTGTATTTCGCCTGGATTGCTGGTTCCCTTACGTACATGAATATAGCGACTCGAGGGATGCAGAAGACGCAGCTCATTCGTGAATAAATATGGTTCCCCCTTGCCCCCATCTCCCCCTCTTCCCCCCCTCTCTCCCCCCCTCCCTCTTCGTCCCCATTGTGCTGGTTCCCTTACGTACAGGAATATAGCGACTCGAGGGACGCGGAAGACGCAGCGCATTATCTGAACGGCAAGGAGGTGGACGGCAGCCATATCATCGTGGAGTTCACTCGCAGGGTACGTTGAGTCTGCTGCTCCTAAATGCCATGTAGGGATGTCTACGCTCCTCACTGATGATTTCTACGGCAAGCTGGTGGACGGCAGCCACGTCATCGTGGAGTTCACTCGCAGGGTACGTTGGGTTTCTTTGTTGCCTGTAGTTGCCAATTCTCCTTCACGTAGGCTTTAAACGCACCTCAGGGGTTATCTGAACGGCAAGGAGGTGGATGGCAGCCACATCATCGTGGAGTTCACTCGCAGGGTACGCTGGGTGGGGTGTCTTGACTGTAGCTGCCATCTAGGCTTTTCACGCACTTTCATGATCGTTTTTGCGCAACGGCAAGGAGGTGGACGGCAGCCACGTCATCGTGGAGTTCACTCGCAGGGTGCGTTGCTCTGCTGCCTGTAGATGCCATTCGTGCACAGTTGCAGTGTAGTATTTTTGTCCGCCTCGGGGTTTGTTGAACGGCAAGGAGGTGGACGGCAGCCACCCTCCTCTCCTCTCCCCTCCGCCCGTTCTCCCTCCCTTCCAGGGTCCGTGCGGGCAGGGCTTCGGAGGCCCTCCAGGTCCGCGCATGGGGGGCATGGGCATCACGCAGGGGCGCTGCTACAACTGCGGCAAGGACGGCCACTGGGCGCGCGACTGCCCTCTGCGCCCCTTCTCTCCCCTCCCCTTCCCTCCGCCTGCTTTTCATCTTTTCCCTGCTGTCCCCTTTTTCCAACCGTCCCTCCCCCACCCTCCTCTCCTCTCCCCTCCGCCCGTTCTCCCTCCCTGCCAGGGTCCGCGCGGGCAGGGCTTCGGAGGCCCTCCAGGTCCGCGCATGGGGGGCATGGGCATCACGCAGGGGCGCTGCTACAACTGCGGCAAGGACGGCCACTGGGCGCGCGACTGCCGCAATGGGGACTGGGGCGGCAAGTGCTACCGATGTGGCGAGCGTGGGCATATTGAGAGGGACTGCCGGAACAGCCCAGCCCAGAGGTAAGGATCATAAACTGTTTCAGAGCAGGATTTGGGAGAAGAATGAGGAGGTGGCTGGGGCGTTTTGTGGCAAGCATGGCCATTGGCCGCGCGACTTCCTGCCGCAACGGCAACTGGGGCGGCAAGTGCTACCGGTGTGGCGAGCGCGGGCACATTGAGAGGGACTGCCGGAACAGCCCCGCTCAGAGGTAAGATCTTTGAGATGTTTTTCAAAGCATTATTTGGGAGAAGAATGGAGGGGTGCTAGGTACAAGGGGGCGGGGACGGCCACTGGGCGCGCGACTGCCACAACGGCGACTGGGGGGGGTGGCAAGTGCTACCGGTGTGGCGAGCGCGGGCACATTGAGAGGGACTGTCGGAACAGCCCCGCCCAGAGGTAAGATATTTGAGATGTTTTTTTTAATCGTTTTTTGGAAGAAGAATGGACTGGTGATAGGTACAGTAGGGCAAGGATGGCCACTGGGCGCGCGACCTCCTGCCGCGTTGACAACTGGGGCGGCGAGTGCTACATATGTGGTGGGCGCGGGCACATTGAGAGAGACTGCCCGAACAGCCCGGCTCACAGATGCTCGCGCGCGTGCGTGCGTGCGTGCGTGCGTGTGTGTGTGTGTGTGTGTGTGTGTGTGTGGGTGTGTGTGTGTGTGTGTGTGTGTGTGGGTGTGTAAATGTAAAAAATTAATGCAAGGGAGACTGGTTTGAGGTGAGTTTTTTCTTCCCTGCCTTTAACTTGGTTCCTCCTCATGGTTTCCACTTAATGGTATCAGTCTTTTCTAAAATTCTAAGAAACGCTTTAAAATGGTGTGGATTGCTTGCTGTCGTGTGACCCGGTGCTGTCGTATTGCTTTGTTTTGAGTAAATGAACGCTCAACAAAGTATTTTGTATTGCTTTCCGTCGTGTGAACCCGGTGCAGGTATCGGTCTCGCAGCCGCAGCCTTTGAGTTGACTCAAAAGTGTTCTTTGGATTGCTTGCTGTTGTGTGAACCCGGCGCAGGTATCGGTCTCGCAGCCGCAGCCTTTGAGTTGACTTAAAAGTGTTCTTTGGATTGCTTGCTGTTGTGTGAACCCGGTGCAGGTATCGGTCTCGCAGCCGCAGCCGCTCACGCAGGTATCACACTTTCCATCCATCGATGAACTCTTTCTCTCTCTAAAATCTCCTGCTTGTTCCCTTGGTTTGTTTTTTTGCATGGATCCTTCATTTCTCAATGCGCAACGCATTCTCATGCTCCCGCCCCTGCTGTCTCCTTTTCTTTACTTCCTCCTTTATGCGTGCTCCTCCAACCAGCCCTCGTCGCGGGCGTGACCGGCGCAGCCGCAGCAACAGCAAGGACAGGGACGAGCGCAGCAAGAGCCGCAGCCGCAGCAGGAGCCGCAGCCGCAGCCGCAGCAACGACCGCGAGAAGGACCGCAGCAGGAGCAGGAGCAGAAGCAACGAGCGCGGGAAGGATCGGGAGAATGGGAAGAAGGCCGGAAGCCACAGCCCTTCGCACAGCCGCAGCCGCAGCAGGAGCGCGAGCAAGGAGAGGAGGAACAGCCGGAGCCCTAGTGCCGAGAAGAAGGAAGAGAAGAGCCCGAGGCGGAGCAGGAGTGCGAGCAAGGAGAGGAGCAAGAGCAGGAGTAAGAGCCCTGCTAGGAGTGCTAGCCCTGCCAGGAGGAGTGCTAGCCCTCGTGATGGTGGTGATGGTGGTTCGCCTAAGAGGTCCCCGATGCAGGATGCAGATGGGGAGAGGAGCCCTGAGAGGAAGGCAGATGATGCGGGAAAGGGTGTGGATGAGTAGATTCAGATGTGCGGTAGATGCTTTCATACACTGGGATGGTGGTGCTGGTTTGATTCGTAACTCTGGGAACTTCTTGCTGTTGCAACTTTGACTGATAGTTTAGTTATTTCGATTTTTGTAACTAGAGCGTCGGGGTTTTTCTAATCGAGGACATGTGACTGGCGTCGCGTCTCGACCTCTCGACGGCCCGCGATGGCACTGGCACTAGGTTTGGGAGGTGCTGTGTGGTTCGGCTTTCAGCCATCACTGTGGTATGGTCTAGGAGCTGACTTCGGCCTGCCATGGTAAGAGGAAACGTTCTCTTCCGGGAAAGTACATCCAAGCTCAGGGCCCATTCCTACCTCGTGTCAGACACGAAGCGGAGGTTTGGATGGAGGTTCGGAAGACCCAAAGTGGCCCACTTCGGGTCTTCCGAACATTGATTTGCCAGAGTTCCAGGTCACTTCGGGTCTTCCTCAACTTCACTTCGTGTCTGACCTCATGTCAGACACGAGCCAAGAATGGGCCCTCAGTTTCGAAAATTTCTCAAATTTAGTTCCGAGTTTACCCAAAAAGTCCAGCTTTTTGGAATTTCGCTCACGCGAGGCCCAAACTATGTTCAAAACTGGTTCTGCGGGGCCAAAATTTTGACACGTGTCCATTTCGTACAGATATTTTTTTTGACGGGGCAAACAAGCCATGATGATAACCCTAGGGAACAGGACACATTTCGGGAGGTATCAACCCTAAACACCGAGCGGGTTCCCGTGCTTAGGGTTGATCCCTCCCGAACATGTGTCCTGGTTTCCCCAAGGGTATTATGTATTTTGTGTCCCATTCAAATTAATTTGTGCATAATGGACACGTGTCGATATTTAAGCCCCGCGAAGGACCAGTTTTGAACATACTTTGGGCCTCGCGCGAGCAAAATTCCACAGACTCGGACTTTTTAGTAAACTTAGAACTAAATTTGAGAGATTTCTAAAAATAAGGAGCTGGCATGTACTTTCCCTTTTCTTCCCATTTTCGGGGTGGGGCTCGTGCGCGTTTCGCACGGTTTCCAGCTAGCACGTGAGAGTACGAACTGTAACCTTGTTTCGCTTACCACGGTGTCAGTGTGACACTGTTACAGTTTGTCAGACAAAGACTCTGCGCATGCCTTTTCCCGCCATTTGTACTTGCTGAAACTGGCTCGACGACTCATGGTTCTAGATTTTGTGTTTCTGTGATTGGATCCGAACCAGAAGTCAGGCTCACAGTCATTCCATGCCTGGTGGCAAGCCAAGCTCCTTCCGCTAGCTTCGTCAAAGACACCAACTGGTCGGGTGGAACATCGCTCAGCCAAGTGCTCTACGGACTGCGCGCGGCTCCCTCCTTGCTGGACGCGGCTCCCCCTGTCCTGTTTAGACCAACTAAACCAGAGTAGACCGATGCGAAACACGCCCTAGCCCTTTTCCTCCCCCTCCCTTTTTTTCTCTTCCTTGCCTCCACATCAACTCTCCCTCTCCCCCCCATCACAACGCTGTAGCTTCTGTGGTTTCATACGGTTAGTTTCAGAGAGGTTCAGAACGGTTGTAAGGGATAACAGGTGCCAAACCCAAGCCAAGGTTCATCCACGTGCCTATCGGCTGCTATCTTTTCGATGGCTTGTCAGAAAATGGCAGGCGACTAGACCAAGACAGGGACGAATCGCGCCGGTCTTTTCAGAAACTTCCCTCCGCCCTGCAGTGAGCCTGGTCATCTGCCGTCGATTCCGGCTATAGCAGATCTGCTCGTTCGCGTGTGTCTGCGTAATGTTAGCACGATTGCAGGGGATACATCAGTAAGGTTCTTTCTGGTGTTTTTTTGGTCCTCTGCTCCTCAATCGTGTTCTGTCAGTCGTCGTTTCGTTGCACCAAACCATCCAGGCATGATCGATTTCGAATCGTGCTCTGTCGCTAGTACTTAGTCGAGGGTGCTTCCAAGCATCAGCATCTAAAGGAGGATATAGCCTTCTCTCGCGCACGAGCTGCACTGTCGAAAATGTATTGAGTCGCCTCAAATCTATCAACCTCTAAAGACGGATATAGCCTTTGCTCGCGCACGAGCTGCGTGCCTAATGCACCTATCCGGCACGACGTGGTGAGCTGCGCACGATCTGCGTGCCTAATGCACAGAACACGACGTGGTTGCAGCTATCGACGTTAGGGTTGTCAACCTTGCTTATTCAGTCCACACTGCAAGCTTGCACGGGGAAATCTGAAAAGCGATTGCCTCTATTCATTCGTAGAAACTCTGAGCGAGGCTAAACAGTGTAGTGCATTCCACCTTCCGTTCAGAGCAGAGCTCATACTTTTTTTTTTTTTTTTTTTTCTGTTTTTCTTTTTAAGTTCGATACACTTAATATTTGCGAGACATCAAGAAAGTTCCCAATGAGGGGTTTGCTGCGCAGCGGTCTTTGGAGCACCGCCTTTGTCATCTCCTTCACCTCCGTCCTCTCGTTATTATCAAATTCGCTCCAAAGTAGCGAGATCGGTTACGAGATCCCGGATACCGCCACGCTCGACGTCAATCCGATAGTGAGTCCTTCGGTTCAAGATGTGAGACTTCAGGTGCGACCGACGGGCTTGCAACGCAGTAGCGTGTCAGCTTCAAGCGGGGATGCGTTTCTGAGATCGGATCTGCATTCAGCAAGCAATGTACGGACGCAAGAGGAGTTTTCGAAGCAGTTTCCTTCTGAGAATTCCGAGGATCCACAGCCGCGAATCACTGGAAAAACTGAAGATCCGCAGCCGTTGATTTCTGGGAATGCGCCAGATCCAACTCAGAGGCTGCTTCATGGGATCGATCTGGTCGAGATGGAAGTGGAGGAAGACGAGACAACCATAAAGAGGGAATCCATGGAAAGGGAAACCAGGAAAGAGGTAGCAGCATCTGACCGGAGGTCTCTATCATCAGCTTCCTCTTTGTCCGGAAACGCGAATTTCGGGGAGGGGATCGTGAATGTTCTACAATCGAATGTTCCCGTAGCGGAAAATTTGGTGTCCGACAGGAGAATATGCGGAGAGGGGCCGTTGAAGGTGTATGTGTACGATCTGCATCAGAAGTTCAATTTCGGGCTGTTTCGACATAAGGAGCTCGAGAGCCTGCCTTTTAGCGCGGATGAAGTTCCGCAGCTGCGGTATCAGCGGAAGGCGAACGGAGGGGTGTCGGGACGAGGCTTCGAACACAGCGGCGAATTTTTCATCGTTTATAACCTGCTGGTGAGCATGCATTGCGGATTTTGTTCCCCTCCCCTCCCCTTTCCCCCCCCCCCCCCCCCCCCCCCCCTCTCCCCTCCCCCTCCATCCACCCACCCCGACACAGCGTGGAAATCTGCATTGTCATCGCCCTTTTGCTTCCTCGTGTGTCCTCCTGCGCAGCCCAACAGTCACAGCAAAAGGTGACCTTATAAGAGTGACGGATCCCGCTGCAGCGGATGATTTCCCTCCCCCTGCTAGCCCCACATGTGCGCCATGTGCTTTCCCTGTGCTTCCCCGTGCCTTCTTCTGAGCAGGCGAACAACCACAGCGACAGCAGCAGGAGCAACGGCGACATTATAAGAGTAACGGATCCCGCTGCAGCGGATGTGTTCTTCGTGCCCTTCCTGAACCCACATGTGGCCCCTGCGCTTCCCCGTTGCCTCCCTCAGTTCCCCTGTGCTTCCCTGTTTCCTCTCCATGCCTCCTTATGAGCAGGCGAACAACCACAGCGACAGCAGCAGGAGCAACGGCGACATTATAAGAGTAACGGATCCCGCTAAAGCGGATGTGTTCTTCGTGCCCTTCCTGGCGTCGCTCAGCTTCAACATCTTCACCACCAATGGCATGCGAGGCGCGCTCGCAGAAAAGGACAAGATTCTCCAGGTGCGTTGGGGAAGGCTCAGTAGGTGGGGCTGTGGGGCGTGCTGAGCTGTGGAGTCCCCCTGGTGGCAGCGGTCGGGAGGCAGGGACCACATCATCCCCATGCTGCAGCCCAACGTTGCTGTTGTTGCTGCATGCATACATACATTCGCGTCTCACTTTCCTTGCCATTTTGTCTCTCTGTTTTGACAGGAGGAGCTGTGGAGCGTCTTAAAGGAGTCCCCCTGGTGGCAGCGGTCGGGAGGCAGGGACCACATCATCCCCATGCTACAGCCGAACGCCCTTCGCCACATTCGCCAGCGCCTCGCTCCAGCCATGTTCCTGCTGCTCGACTTTGGCCGGTGAGTTTGATTGGTGTTCTCTTTTGAGATTCAGTCATAAGTCACCTTGATTGTGCTCTTGACGCGGCACATTCGCCAGCACCTCGCCCCGGCCATGTTCCTGCTGCCTCGACACATATTCCTCCAATGCAGATACGTCCCCAAGGAGTAGCCCAGCTGAGCAAGGACACTGTCGTTCCATACAACCACATAGCACCGCCTTACACAGAGTGTGTGCTCCCCTTAGCTACCAATGAAACCTTCGCCCCCAACCCTAAGCAGTTACGCCCCCAAGGCGTAGCCCGGTTGAGCAAGAACACAGTCTTTCCAATACAACCACATAGCACCGCCTTACACGGAGCCTGCAACCTCTCATCTTGTCCCTCTTGCTTTCTTTCCATTGATCCTGTGCCAACCACCAGGTACGCCCAAGGCGTAGCCCGGCTGAGCAAGGGCATAGTGGTGCCGTACAACCACATAGCGCCACTCTGAGCCGGCGTTCCCCTTTCCCTCCACTTGACGTGTTTCCACCACCCACCAGATACGCCCAAGGCGTAGCCAGGCTGAGCAAGGGCATAGTGGTCCCGTACAACCACATAGCACCGCCTCACTCAGAGGGTGCGCTCCCCTTAGCTACCACTGAAACCTTCGCCCCCAACCCAATGCAGTTACGCCCAGGGAGTAGCGCGTCGGAGCAAGGACATAGCGCCGCCTTACACGAAGCCTGCACCCCCTCCCCTTGTACCCTACCACTGTCTCGCCTTCCTTCTCTCTGTTCTGTGTCACATCCCAGGTAGGCCCAAGGAGTAGCCCGTCTGAGCAAGGACATAGTGGTCCCATATAATCACATGGTACCGCCTTACACGGAACCTTTGTTCTTTTCGCTACCACTCAAACCTATTCCCTTAATGCAGATATGCTCAAGGCGTGGCCCGGTTGAGCAAGGACATAGTGGTCCCATATAATCACATGGTACCGCCTTACACGGAACCGGCTAGCTATGGGGAGGCGCAGGGGCCGTGGGAGGCGCGAAAGACGCTGCTGTTCTTCCAAGGGACGATTATGAGGAAGGATGTGAGTGAGGTGGATGAGAGAGTGGGCAATTTGAAGCGAGGAGTGCTGGTTACTTAGGGAGCTGCACGGGAGAGCCGGGTAGCTATGGAAACGCGCAGGGGCCGTGGGAAGCGCGGACAACAATGCTGTTCTTCCAAGGGACGATCATGGGGCAGGATGTGACTGTAACGGAAGGGTGGGAGTGAGTGTAGCGGGAGGGGCCCAGTGTTGTGACGGTGGACGTGTCAATGACAGAAAGAGTGCCGGAGAGCTATGGGGAGGCGCAGGGGCCGTGGGAGGTGCGGACCACGCTGCTGTTCTTCCAAGGGACGATTATGCGGAAGGATGTGAGTGGCACGGGAGGGGTGAGAGGGAGGAAAATTTGAAGGATGTGAGTGTGAGGGGGATGAGAGAGAGGGAAATTTGAAGGGGTGAGTGCTGATTACTTCGGTAGTTTCACAGGGAGAGCCAGCGAGCTATGGGGAGGCGCAGGGGCCGTGGGAGGCGCGAACAACGCTGCTGTTCTTCCAAGGGACCATCATGCGGAAGGATGTGAGTGTAACAGACGGGAAGGTGTGAGTGTAACGGGAAGGTGGGTGTGAGTGTAGGCGCTTGTGAGTGTAGATGATTGCAGGAATGCTCGAGTTCGTCCTTGGCATGACAAGGAACACTGGGTGAAAATGGGTCAAGTTGGGTAAAAATGGGTCAACAATGGGTAACACAACTTGTTGCATAGAGTTTGACATCCTTATCCTCTTTGGTTCTGTCTATCTCACCTGCTTTCTTGTTTTTTGAGACGTTTAAAAAATGAGTCAACAATGGGTGACATAACATCACCTCGTGCATTGAGTTTGACATCCTTCTCCTCCTCGGTTCTGTCTCACCTGCTTTCATGTTTGGGAATGGCAACGGATCATGGTATGGCATGGTGTGCTGTGGTGTGGTGTGGGTGACATGGCTTGGCATGATATGACATGGGATGCGTTTGTTTTCATTGCTACCTGGCATGGCATGGCATGGCATGGCATGGTATGGCATGGTACGAGCAGGAGGGGTATATCCGCAAGCTCATCTTTGACATGTATCACAAGGAGCCAGATGTCAGATTCGTAGAGAGCAAGATCACCGGGCCACAGGACATCATCTCGGTATGGCTGCTGTATGGTGTGGCACAGTGCGGTACAGAACGGTGCCGTGCAGTATGGTGTGTTATGCTAGGTTCTATGCTTCGACCAGGAGCAGCAAGCTCATCTTTGGCATGTGTCACAAGGAGCCCGATGTGAAATTCGTGGAGAGCAAGATCACCGGCAGGATATTATTTCGGTATGGCTGCTGTATGGTGTGGTGCAGTGCGGTACTGAACGATGCAGAGCAGTATGTTACATTATGGGGCACGAGCAGGAGGTCGCAAGCTCATCTTTGACGTGTATCACAAGGAGCCCGATGTGAAATTCGTGGAGAGCAAGATCACCGGCCCACAGGATATTATTTCGGTATGGCTACTGCATGCTGTGGTACGGTGCGGTGTGCTGTGGTACAGTGTGGTACGGTACAGTGTGGTAAGCAAGCTCATCTTTGACATGTATCACAAGGAGCCGGACGTGAGGTTCGTGGAGAGCAAGACCACCGGGCCTCAAGACATCATCTTGGTGGGTGAAACAGGATGGTACGGTGTGGTTGTGTACAGTATGGTATGGTATGGTATGCTGTGCTCCGGTGCTTGTCTGATCGTCTGCGCCCCGTGGCCCGCGTGCCTCTTTGACACCATCGCCAGCCACTGCGTGCCCACACACACTGACTTCCTCCCTCACCTATTCTGACGCCCTTTCCTCCCATACACAGAGGGGCTGAGAAATCCCCGCTTCTGTCTGAATGCGGCTGGAGACACCCCTTCGTCCGCATGGCTCTTTGATGCCATCACCAGCCACTGCTTGCCCGTGGTCACTCCGTCCTGTTCTCCACTGCTTCCCTTCCCTCCATCACTCCATCCCTCCATCCCTCCCTCCCCTCTCTCCGTTCCCCCCCTCTCACAGGCAGCAGAGGGTCTGAGAAACTCCCGCTTTTGTCTCAATGCAGCCGGAGACACCCCTTCGTCCGCACGCCTCTTTGACTCCATGCTCACTCCTTCCTCCTTCCCCTCCACTATCTCCCCCACCAACAGGCAGCAGAGGGTCTGAGAAACTCCCGCTTCTGCCTCAATGCGGCAGGAGACACCCCTTCGTCCGCCTTCACCCTTTGCGTTCATTCCGTCCCTCCTCTCTCGACAACCCCAACAGGCAGCAGAGGGCCTCAGAAATTCACTCCTTATTCAGCGGCGGGAGACACCCCTTCGTCCGCCTCCTCTACTTACATCCACTCCTTCCATCCCTCCATCCTGACCAACCCTCTCCACAACCCCCGCCAGGCAGCAGAGGGTCTGAGAAACTCCCGCTTCTGCCTGAATGCAGCCGGAGACACGCCTTCGTCTGCACGGCTCTTTGATGCCATCACCAGCCACTGCGTGCCAGTGGTCATCAGCAACAAGATCGAGCTGCCCTTTGAGACGTCGATCGATTATTCCGACTTCACGCTCTTTGTCTCCCATGAGGTGAGAGCTCTTTCTCTTTGTGACTCGGGTGTGTCTCTCGAGCAATGAGTGCCATTGGGCTGCTCTTTGATGCCATCACCAGCCACTCACTGCGTGCCCGTGGTCATCAGCAACAACATCGAGCTGCCCTTTGAGACGTCCATTGACTACTCTTACTACCTGCACCTGCTGCGCTTGCTGCGCTTGCTGCGCTTGCTGCGCCTGCTGCGCCTGCTGCGCCTGCTGCGCCTGCTGCGCCTGCTGCGCCTGCTGCGCCTGCTGCGCCTGCTGCGCCTGCTGCAGCATCAATACATTCCCCAGTGCCCTCCGGTTGTGTTCTGGATATGCATCATCAGTACCTTCCCCTCCCCCTGCATGCTTCCCCACACAGGACGCCCTGCGCCAGGACTATCTGCTGCGCCTGCTGCGCACATTCCGTCCCAATGCTCCCTACCCTGTACACATCATCCATTCATCCCCCTCCTACTCCCCCTGTCTCCCCCAGGACGCCCTGCGCCAGGGCTATTTGCTGCGCCTGCTGCGCACATTCAATGAGCCATCTTCCCCTGTTATCTTCCCCCATCTCCCCCCGCCCTTTGCTCCCTTTCTTACCCCCCCTCCCAGGACGCCCTGCGCCAGGGCTACCTGCTGCGCAGTGAAAGAGTCATTCCTCCACCTTACTTTCTTTTCCCATCTACCTCCCGCTTCCCCCCTCTCCCCCCCCCTTCCCAAGACGCCCTGCGCCAGGGCCACCTGCTGCGCCTGCTGCGCACATTCCCCAATGCTGTCCCTCCACCTGAACTTGCTACGTTCTTTCTCCTAATCCCCCTCTCCGCTCACACCCTCCCCCTCTCCCCCCCAGGACGCCCTGCGCCAGGGCTACCTGCTGCACCTGCTGCGCACATTCCCCTGGGCTCTCTCTCCCCCCCCCCCTGTTTGTCATCATATGCCATTTCTCCCCTTACTCTCTTTCTCACAGGACGCCCTGCGCCAGGGCTATCTGCTGCGCCTGTTGCGCACATTTTCCAAGGAGAGGTGGCTGCGCATGTGGCGGAACCTGCAGCGAGTGAAGCACCACTTTGAGTTCCAGGTGTGTTATCAAGTCCCCTTAAACACTTGTGTAGGTTGGTAGGCTGGTATTTCTCTGGTAGGTATGCCTGCTGCGCACATGCCCCAGGGACAGGTGGCTGCGCATGTGGCAGAACCTGCAGCGAGTGAAGCACCGCTTTGAGTTCCAGGTGGGTTGGTCTCTCCTTAATCACGTGTGTAGGCTGGAATATACCCCGTAGCCGTGCTAACCCGTTCCCCCGGGAGAGGTGGCTGCGCATGTGGCAGAACCTGCAGCGAGTGAAGCACCATTTCGAGTTCCAGGTGGGGTTTCTAGCGACCCTTGCGATGCTTTCTGGCTGGTAGGCCTGGGTACATGCTTGTGCGGTCAATGGTTGTTTCCCAGGGAGAGGTGGCTGCGCATGTGGCAGAACCTGCAGCGAGTGAAGCACCATTTCGAGTTCCAGGTGGGGTTTCTAGCGACCCTTGCGATGCTTTCTGGCTGGTAGGCCTGGGTACATGCTTGTGCGGTCAATGGTTGTTCCCCAGGGACAGGTGGCTGCGCATGTGGCAGAACCTGCAGCGAGTGAAGCACCGCTTTGAGTTCCAGGTGTGTTATCAAGTCCCCTTAAACACTTGTGTAGGTTGGTAGGCTGGTATTTCTCTGGTAGGTATGCCTGCTGCGCACATGCCCCAGGGACAGGTGGCTGCGCATGTGGCAGAACCTGCAGCGAGTGAAGCACCGCTTTGAGTTCCAGGTGGGTAGGGTGCCACCCTCCTCTCCCCCCTCTCCTCTACGCCCTTCCCTCATTATTCCTTGAAACTATTGCCATCGCAACCAGCTGGTGCACTCAGAATGGTACAGAGGCTCAGCCCACGTGCTGTTCCCATTATCCAAAAAGTGTGTTTTCCAACCCTTCTCTCCTTCCCCCCTTCCACCCTTTCACCCCTTTCCCCCGCTTCCCCCCCTTCCTCCCCTTTCCCCCCTTCCCCTCCTCCCCCCCCCTCCCCCTCATACCGCAGTACCCTTCGCAACCAGGTGATGCGGTCAGCATGGTACAGAGTCTCAGCCCTCACCCCGTTCTCATTATACACAATACGCGTTTCCCCGCCTTTCTCTCTTCCCCTCCTTCACCCCCTTCCCCCCCGTCCCCTCCTACTCCCCCCCCTCTCATACTGCAGTACCCTTCGCAACCAGGTGATGCGGTCAGCATGGTGCAGAACAGAGGTTCATCCCTCACCCCATTTACGAGGCAACTTCTGAGTCGACTCAAAAGTCATAAGGTTCATCCCTCACCCCATTTCCATTATCCCACACAACAACACACGCGTTTCCCAACCCTCCTCTCTTCCCCCCCTTCCCCTTCTTCTCCCCCTCCCCGTCATACCGCAGTACCCTTCGCAACCAGGTGATGCCGTCAGCATGGTGTGGAGGGAAATTCGCAAGAAGCTTCCTCGAGTGCGACTGGCAATCCACAGGGGGAAGCGGCTAGTGGTGCGCGATTGGACCAATGTGTAACTTTTCTAGGGTAATCCCCCCTTGTGGGTAGGGAAAATCGATGAAGTGTAGAATGTGTAGTGTAGGAATAGGTACATGTTTTGGAGAAAGTGGGATGACATGTGTTGTATGCATGTTCGGACAGGCAAAACTTCTAAGCAAATCTACTGAGGCACTAATTGCAAAGTGTATTATAGCGACGTCACAAATTTCCAGTGGAATGTTTATAGGTAATTTGGAACTACTACCAAATTTCTTGGTGAACGTGGTAGAGCTGTGTATGTATGCTAATGGGTGGGCTGCAAACGAAACGGACTGCCATGGCCTGTGTGCATTGCAGTCCAGTCCAGACCTGCATGCTGCCCTGCACACAAAACAAAAACTCTGTTCCCTGGTAGCCGATGCTGTGTTCTCCTGGCATGTACCATTCTACTAACCTCTATTGAGTTCGGCTGTGTCATCCATGCATTGCATCCTGTTATGCACATACCGTAACTAAGGCTAAGTTCAGCAAGGTTACCGCATAGCAACTAGCAATTTTTTTTCTCAAAACGCGCCAGCTAGGGGTCGAACCTAGGACCTCTCGCTTAGGAAGCGAACACTCTATCCACTGAGTTACAGGCGCATGTATTGCGGTTTTCACTTTTATAAACGATATTTAACTGAACGTGGTCGGCATTCAGCTGACAAAATAGATCGAACTGTCCACCAGGTGCAACATTGTAAACCCCCAGTTGCTAGTGTATGTTTTTATTGTTATGACACCAAAAGTACACATCCACAGCGTTAAAACAAAAGAATGACCGTGATACCGGTATGGACATCAATGCGTTAGTCACCAAGGCTCCCTTGTCTGTATGGAGATGCCTTGCGGGATAAGCCAGTGCCAGACCCCTTCTCACTCCCCTTCTCCCCTGCAGCTGGCTCGCCAGGTGTCAGCCCACGACTGGACGGGGAGCTGCCGTGAATCAAATCTTCCTTCTGCGCGACTGAAAACAAGGGGCGGGGGGGGGGGGGGGGAGGGGGATTGTGGGAGGGGCGGGGGGGAATGGGAAGGTTTGGCGAATGACCGGTGGAATAGCATGAAACATACATGATGGTCTGATGAGCAAGCAGAAGCAGCAATACAATTGCAGCATATGATTGACAATGGACGAGTCAAACATTTTCTGAATGCAAGCATCAAAATGCCTGGGTATGTTCCATTCAAGCGCCTAAATTTTTTTAAGGCGGGTCAGACTAGGTACATTTCTGTTCAATTGTTGCGGTTGAGTACGGTGGTGTGCACTCTAGAGCGTCGCTTCACCGCTTTAAACCGCGGCTCACCTCTTTGGACAGTGATGCATGAACAGAAAGGGCTCAAACTCTAACCAACCCAAGAGACTGCACCTGATGGGGAGGCGAGGTAAGATATACATGATCTGCTGCCTAAAGAGTCAATACCAAGCCTCTGAGCAATAGAAGGGCTCGGAGATACTTTGTCAGCAGGCTCGGCAGGACAAAACCTTGTCAGTAGGCTCGGCAGGACATACCTTGTCAGCAGGTACGGCAGGTCGAGATGGTGTGGAGGCAGGCTCGGCTTTGAGGGATGATGCCTCCACCTTGGGCTTGACAGGGGGGCGAGCAGGAGGGGGGCGACTGGTTGAAGTAGTGGGGGGGGGGGGTGGGGTTGGGGTACACAGGCAGGGAGGCAGGCTCGGCTTTGAGTGCTGCCTGCACCTTGGGTTTGACAAGCGGGCGAGCAGGGGGGGGGCGCCTGGGGGAAACAGATGACAAGAATAAAGGAGGAAGGACGGGAGGAAGAAAGGGGATTCTTGAGTAATTTTATGGCAATGTGAGAGAGGGAAAAAAGCAGGCTCGGCTTTGAGTGATGCCTCCACCTTGGACTTGACAGGCGGGCACACTGGGGGAGGGCGACTGGAGGGGAGAGCGGAAAGGGGAGAGGTGAGAGGGGAGAGGGGAGAGGGGAGATGGCACGAGGAACGAGGGGCAGAAACAAATCAGGGACTACGCATGCATTTGACAGTGAAGTCATGGCCTCAAGGTGGGAACTTTTGTGCTTGAAAATGGCCCCACCTTGATGCTGCAGGGTGTTTTTGAGAATTCTCAAAAACACCCTGCAGCATGCATTTGACAGTGAAGTGATGGGCCCAAGCTGGGAACAATTGTGCTTGAAAATGTATTGGCCCTAAATGGCCCCACCTTGGGCTAGACAGGCGGGGGCGCAGTGAAAAGGGGGGACCGGAAAGAACAAGGGGCAGGGGCACCACACTCACCCAACACAGCACTCACCCTGAAGCCTCTGGTAGAGGTCGCTTCTTCTCCTCCCCTGTCACAGCCCCTCCTGCCCCAGCCCCTCCTCCTGTTGCACTCACCCTCTCTAGCCCCTGAATCTCCAACCTTTCATCCCACACACCACCCACCCTGAAGCCTCAGATAGAGGTCGTTGCTCCCCCCCTCCTCCTCCTGCTTCTTTCTTGCCAGCCCTGCATACCTACCATACCTACCAGCACGCTACAAGCACTCACCCCCCAACCCACAGCACTCACCCTGAAGCATCGGGTAGAGGTCGCTTCTTCCCCTCCCCTGTCACCACCCCTCCACCCCCAGCCCCCCTCCTGCCCCTCCCCTGCTGTACTCACACTTGCTAGCCCCTGCACCTTTAACCACTCCCCACAAACAGACCACTCACCCTGAAGCCTCGGGCAGAGGTCGCTTCTTCCCCTCCCCTGTCACTGCTCCTCCCCCCCCAGTCCCCCCAGAGGCGCCTGAATCAAGAGCAACCTTTGAGACACCTTAAAGCATTCACCCAGGAAACTAGAGCAGAGGTCGCTTCTTCCCTCTTGCCTCATGTGTAGGACACTCAAGAGTACCCTGAACAAGAGCGCACTAACCTCATCCCACAAGACCACTCACCCTGAAGCCTCGGGTAAAGGTCGCTTCTTCCCCTCCCCTGTCACAGCCCCTTCCCCCCCCCCAACCCCTCCTCCTGTTGCACTCACACTCGCTAGCAACTGATTCTCCAACCTTTCATCCCACAAGACCACTCACCCTGAAGCCTCCGGTAGAGGTCGCTTCTTCCCCTCCCCTGTCACTGCTCCTCCCCCCCCAGCCCCTCCTCCCCCTCCTGCTCCTCCTGTCCCGCTTACTCCTCCTGCTGCAGCCGCGCCCTTGCCCCCCCCGCTCTTCCCCTCCTCCTTCACGGCAGCTGCTGCTGGCCCTTCCAGCACTGCAGGCGCATCCCCGTCTGCTTCCCTATCTTCGTGCCGAGTATCAGGCTCTTCCTCTTCCTGCGGAGAAAACGAGGAAAAAGGAGGGGGAAGCAGAGGGACGGGAGGGGGAATAGTAGGTTAACTAGGGTACCGTCAGGCCCTTCCAGCACTGCAGGCGCATCCCCATCTGCCTCCCAGTCGTCCGGCCGAGTATCAGGCTCAACCTCATCCTGTGGGGAGAGTGAGGAGAGGGGAGAGAAAATGAGAGGTTAATAAGGGCGAAGTAAGGTAAGCACACCCGCTCTTCCATTTCTCCTTCACGGCAGCTGCTGCTCCCAGTCCTTCCAGCACTGCAGGTGCATCCCCATCCGCCTCCCTGTCCTCTGGGCGAGTATCAGGCTCGTCCTCCTCCTGTTATGGATGAGAGCGCGTTTGAGTGTGTGAGTGAGAGTGAAAAAGGGAGGGAGACACATAGACAGCTAGAGAGGGAAGCATCAAGCTGGTAATGCGTTGCTTGTGCTGGGATATTTGAGACGTCTATGAGCGAATGTGAATTACCTCGTCAGATAGTTGAGTGTCAGAAACTCGGGTGTGGAAGGGCGCAGAGGGAGCATGCTGCTACGCTAATGCGCTGTCGGGTATTATGTGGACTTTAAAGAAAGAAAGAGAATTACCTCGTCCGGTAGATGTGTGTCAGGGGCACGCGTGTGGAAGGGCGAGTGGGAGCACGCTGCAAAGCTAATGCGCTGTCGAGTATTTTGAAGACGTTGAAGAAAGAAAGAGAATTACCTCGTCCGGTAGTTGTGTGTCGGGGGCACGGGCGTGGAAAGGAACGCTGGGAGCATGCTGCAGCTTTGATAGATTCTCCAACAGGCGAGTTCTGAAAAGGCAGGAATGGGAAGAGGGAGAGGAGGAAGTGACTAGAATTGCGGCACAGCGTGAGTGAACAGGCGAGTGTCAGGGGCATGCGTGCTGCAGTTTTAATAAATTCTCCAGAAAAACACCCTCGAGTTTTGCAAGACTCACCGCGCAGAGTCGAGATAGGCCCTCGAGTTCTGATTCTCCATGTTGCTGGGCGTGATGGGCAGGGTATAGTCCGAACTTACATACATCGACAGATGCGACACTGTAGACACAGCACTCACCGCACTGAATCTAAATACGCCCTCGAGTTCTGATTCTCCATGTTGCTGGGCGTGATGTGCAGCGTATAATCCGGGCCGAAATACTCATAGTAGTCGTTGAAAGGCATGCGATCCTCTAGCTCCAACCCCACTGCCACTCCCGTCTGAACAGGGAGGAAGAGAGGGAGGGCGTGGGAAGAGCGTAAAGGCATGGGGAGGGAGAAGGAATAAGGGGGTGTAAGGTGCAGCGTATAATCCGGGCCGAAATACTCGTAGTAGTCATTGAACGGCATGCGATCCTCTAGCTCCAACCCCACTGCCACTCCCGTCTGTTGGCAGGGGAGGAGAGAGCCAAGGAAGAGGAGGGAAGTTAGGGTGTGGTGAAGGGAGGGTGATGTGCAGCGTATAATCCGGGACGAAATACTCGTAGTAGTCGTTGAAAGGCATGCGATCTTCAAGCTCCAGGGCCACTGCCACGCCCGTCTGTTCAGATAGACAGAGGGGAGGGGGGGGAGGAGGAGTAGGGAGGGTGCAAGGAGGGAGACGGAATGAGTGGATGTGCTGAGGAAGGTGAAGCGAGGGCCAAAATACTTGTGTTAGTCGTTGAAAGGCACTCGATCTTTTAATTCCAACCCCACAGCCACTCCCGTCTGTTCGCATTAACAGAGCGGAGGAATGGCACACACTCCGAGTGGATTTTTGAGGCGCCTCAAAAATACTCATAGTAGTCGTTAAAAGGCACTCGATCTTTTGATTCCAACCCCACAGCCACTCCCGTCTGTTCGCATTGACAGAGCGGAGGAATAGCACACACCCCGAGTGGCCCCGCACCGAGCGGACGTCTCAAGGCATGCGATCTTCTAGCTCCAACCCCACGGCCACTCCCGTCTGTTCGCATTGACAGAGCGGAGGAATAGCACACACTCCAAGTGGCCCCGCACCGACATATTTAGATTGAAGCACCCCAGCCTGTCACCCCCTCCTTCCCCCGGGCTGGGCTTACTTCATAGCACCAGCAGCGCGCAACGTTGCGGATGGTGTAGCCTCCTCCCCCCAGCAGCAGCAGCGGCACGTTGAAAGATCTCAAGAACCGAACACACTCCGAGTGGCCCTGCACCGACAGGTTAAAGCACCCCAAGCGGTCCCCGGATAGAGAATCCGCCCCGCACTGTAGCACCAGCAGCTTACCTCATAACACCAGCAGTGCGCAACGTTGCGGATGGTGTAGCCTCCTCCCCCCAGCAGCAGCAGCGGCACGTTGAAAGATCGCAGGAACCGCACACACTCCGAGTGGCCCCGCACCGACAGGTTAAAGCACCCCAGCCGTTCGCCTGATAGAGAGTCCGCCCCGCACTGTAGCACCAGCAGCTTACCTCATAACACCAGCAGCGCGCAACGTTGCGGATGGTGTACCCTCCCCCGCCCAGCAGCAGCAGCGGCACGTTGAATGATCGCAAGAACCGCACACACTCCGAGTGGCCCCGCACCGACAGGTTAAAGCACCCCAGCCGGTCGCCTGATAGAGAGTCCGCCCCGCACTGCAGGACCACGGCGCCGGGTTGAAAGACGTCCATGACCTTTGAGATGAGGGGCTTGAAGAGCGAGAGGTAGCTGTCGTCGTCGATTCCGTCGTGAAGGGGAACATTCAGCGAGTAGTGCTTGCCTTTCCCGTACCCCGTGTCCCTCAGATCGCCTGGGGTAAGGAAGCAGACGGGAAGCAGACAGGAATGAACAAAGGGAATCAGGAGGGACGAAGCACAGAGCTCCACCGCACAGCACCGCCCTGCGCTTGCAGCACGACTGCGCCGGGCTGAAAGACGTCCATGACTTTGGAGATGAGGGGCTTGAAGAGCGAGAGGTAGCTGTCGTCGTCAATGCCGTCGTGGAGGGGCACGTTGAGGGAATAGTGCTTGCCTTTCCCGTACCCCGTATCCCTTAGGTCGCCTGGGGTATGGATGGGGGAAGACGAGCGAGCAAGAGGACAGGAAGGTAACAAAGTGAATTGCTTGAAGAGCGAGAGGTAGCTGTCGTCATCAATCCCGCCGTGCCGAGGCACGTTGAGCGAGTAGTGCTTGCCCCGCCCGTAACTAGTATCCCTTAGGTCGTCTGGGTGGGGTGGAAGGAAGGCGTGCATGGGTTTGGAGGGGAGATGAGGGGCACCGTCATCACTCGGTCCGTTGTGCAAAACGCCTCCTCCACCCATCCCCCTTCGATGGCTGAAATTCACCCGAAATCACTCCAGAGAAGCACCCCCCACCTGTGCGCTGTCTGTCTGATCCCCACCTGTGCCGGATAGTAGTCCCCAAACTTGTGGAAGGAAACTGTCATGACTCGGTGCGTCCGATGTGTGTGACCCTCTAGTCGACTTAAAGCCCACCTGTGCCGGGGTAGTAATCCCCAAAACTTGTGAAAGGACACTGTCATGACTCGGTCCGTCGTGACCCTCGTGCCAACTTGAATCTCACGACTCAGTGCCTTGTTTGTGACTCTCTAGTCTACTTAAAACCCACCTGTGGCCTGAAGGGTCCCCTCACCTGTGCCCGGGAAGTAGTCCCCAAACTTGTGGAAGGACACCGTCATGACTCGGTCTGTCCGTAGTGTGCGACCCTCTAGTCGACTTAAAGCCCACCTGTGCCGGGGAAGTAGTCGCCAAACTTGTGGAAGGACGCCGTCATGACTCGGTCCGTTGTGACTCAGTGCCTTGTTCGTGACTCTGTGGCCTGAAGGGTCCCCTCACCTGTGCCGGGGAAGTAGTCCCCAAACTTGTGAAACGACACCGTCATGACTCGGTCCGTTGTGTAAAACGCCTCCTCCACGCCGTCCCCGTGGTGGATGTCAATGTCGATGTAGAGCACACGCTGGGGGGAGGAAGGGTAGCGTTGAGGGGAGAGGATAGAGGAGTAAATGAAAGAAATGGACGGAGGTCATAAGGCAGACAGGCCGCCTTCACGCCGTCCCCGTGGTGGATGTCGATGTATAGCACACGCTGGGGGGAGAAGAGGAGGGGAGGGGAGGGGAGGAAGCACAGAAGAAGTAGAGTGAGATCAGAGCAGAGCAGCCTTCCTCCACGCCGTCCCCATGGTGAATGTCAATGTCGATAAAGAGCACAGTTAATCGCAATATCCGAGTGCCCAGTTAATCGCAACCCCAGTTAATCGCCCAGTCAATGACCGAGTGCCCGTGGTTCAGGTCACTCAGCTCGGCTTGAGCTAATTAAGATTCACGAGTGAAGGACTCACCTCATGATACTTCAGTAGCTCCAGAATGGCAAGCACGATGTCGTTCACGTAGCAGAACCCCGATGCTTCGCACTTCTTGGCGTGACGCAGCCCGCCCGCCCAACCCTCACATGGCAATGTCCACGAAAGTCACTCACCGCATGATACTTCAGGAGCTCCAGAATTGCAAGGACGATATCGTTCACGTAGCAGAATCCTGATGCTTCGCATTTCTTAGCGTGATGCAGCCCGCCCGCCCAGTTGATCGCAATGTCCGAGTGCCCGTGGTTCAGCTTCACCGCGCCTCCCACCGAGCCTCCGGTGTAGGTTTGGCAGAACTGGTAGAGCCCGTCGAAGACGGGGCAGTCCTCCCCCACGTTGAAGCGCTTGAGCATGCGCAGCTGCTCGTGCTGGTTCTCGGGGGTGACTGTTCGCAGGAACTCGACGTAATCGTCTGAGTGGAACCTGGTGGGAGGAGTAGGTCGGTAATGGAAATGGGGAGCGTTGATAAGAGAACGGTGGGACAAGCTGTGCTGATTCTCCGGAGTCACTGTGCGGAGAAACTCCACATAGTCGTCTGAGTGGAACCTGGTAGTGGTGGGAGGACGGAGGGGAAAAGGGAATCGTTCAAGAAGAGCATTTGCAGCTGCTCGTGCTGGTTCTCAGGAGTCACTGTGCGGAGAAACTCGACGTAATCGTTTGAGTGGATCCTGGTAGATGGTGAGAGGAGGGAGAAAGGGAATGCGGATCAACAATAAAAAGGGGGGGAAAAGGAGGGGTTTTGTGGGGGTAGAGGGTCAAAGGAGGGCTTCAGCTCACCAGATCCAGACATAACCCCGCTATAAGCACATTCCGCTTTACCTGCACAGATCCCTATCTCCAGCTTGTCGTGCAAACTGAGGTGTATGAACAGGCTGAAGGTCATTCGACTTAAAATAGAACAGCGTTACAAGCCCCACCTCCACATGTCCTTATCGCAAGCGCAACCCCGCTATAAGCCTCACCTGCACATATCCTTATTGCGAGCGAGAAAAGGGTGTTAAAAACCTCAAGCTTGGAGTGCGGGCAGTAGAGTAGCGCATCAGCAGAATGCTAGTCTGTCAAGATTGGAAACAACCCCGTTGGGACAGCAATCCGCCTCACCCGCGCATGCCCTTATCGTCGCGCGCGGAAAACGGCTTGAAGATCTCGAGCTTGATGTGCAGGCCGCAGTGCATCAGCAGGCTGCTACTCATTCAAATCCAGAAAAAAACCACGTTATAAGCATATTCGCTGCACTCACTGCGCATGCCCTTATCGTCGCGCGCGGGAAACTGCTTGAAGATCTCGAGCTTCGTGTGCAGGCCGTAGTGCATGAGCAGGCTGTGGGTCATCCGGTTCCGAAACAACCCCGTTACAAGCACATATACCGTACTCAACTGCACACATAACGAGTACCTGCACATGTCCGTGTCGCGAACGGGAAACGGCTTGAAAATCTCAAGCTTGGTGTGCAGGCTGTAGCGGATCAGCAGACTGCTAGCCACTAGAATTGAAAACAACCCCACACTAACAGCAATCCGCCTCACCTTCGCAAGCCCTTATCGTAGCGCGCGGGAAACGGCTTGGAACTTTCCAAAATGATGTGCAGGCCGTAGTGCACAGGCTGTGGTTCATCCGGATGCAATAACATCCCTGTTATAAGGCGTACCTGCACATATCTTTATCGCGCGCGGGAAATGGCTTGAAAATCTCGAGTTTGGTGTGCAGGCCGTAGTGCATGAGCAGGCTGTGTGTCATCCGAATGCGGTGCGGCTTCATGGGATGGCCCTGGCCGTAGTAGTAATTCCCCACGTCCGGATCGTAGAAATACGCCACGCGCTTCTTTCGCCCTTCCGGCCCTGCGAGATTGCACAGAGTTCCCGTCGACGTCATGATGGGATTCGACTCTGATGCTAGCCTGCTCCCAGCTGGGGGTTTGCCACGTGGCTAGGCTCACGGAACGCGTTCGCGGCACTTACGGCTAGGTTTAGTCTACAACGAGGTAGCAGAGATCGCAGCGCATTACTATAGCTACACCGAGCTGATTGAACGGCAGCTCCTGAGGAGTCGCAACCCTAGAAACTAAGTTGAAGGAAATGAAGATGAGGTGAGGAATGAACTACGCGGGAGTTGGTTATGCCTGTCGGTGGGGTCCTAGGCAATTTCAAGAGAAGCACGCCACAGGATATAAACTCGACAGAGGCTCTGTTCGAGCGCTAGCTCGGCTGATTTGAGAATACACTATCTTCGGAATATAGCGGGTACACTAGCAAGGACACGATAAGATATTTGAACATAGAGAAAATGTTGCATTGCCATGATTAACTTGGTTTGGAATCCTCTGTACGCCAAACAATTTTCGGTATCACATGCGCAGATTCCAGTTTTAATACTTATTTTTGTTAATCAACCTCTCATGCTAGACATTTCAGAGGGCACTTGTGTGTACGCATGAAAAGCTAATGTACACGATGAGGCTATTGCAATATCGAAAATAGCTGGTGGAAAAGCCAAAATCTCACATTGTACGAGTAGTCTTCAAGGATAACTAAATGTATCGAGAACAGACGGTTGGACTATGCCACGCATTACATTCTTTTCGGGTCATCAATTGTCGGACGTTCCCCCCAAAAGATCCCGCCTCCAACCAACAGTCGTTCTGACCGTTGTTCACATGCATCGCAACACAAGCACAACCTCCCCCCGTCGCCGTGCTACCTAGTAATCTCTCGTTAGCGGCAGATAAAGTCGTCGTTCAGGTCGTTGCCTTTTCGCAAGGCGCGAAGCTCTTCTTGCGAAATTCGTGCATAGTGATTTACAAATGCGATGTGCTTCCCGCCCCGTGCGTGTGCTTGTCCCAGCCAACAAAACATGGACCGACAAGTATGTCTCCTGCCTCACTTTTCGACGGTTGTGGGACATTTTTCCGCTAGAACCCGCTCTGATCAGCCTGTGCTGGGGGGGGTGTTCTCATTGTCGTCGTAGGAGAATATGTTGGAGAAGTAGGAAACTGTAGAAAGACTTTAGCACCAACCATCCGCCATGAAAATCACCCACTTATTCTGAATTGTGCTGAGCGATTGTCACTGAAGTCGGGCCTCAGCTGCTTCCTCCGTTGCTGCTATATTGTACGTAGGACACGTAGATCAATTGCTAATAGATTGTCCATCACAGAATCTCGCAGGCAGCCCAATGAAGCCATTTTGGAGCTGCATTGGGGTAGTGCTACTACTTGCAGTGTCAGGGAATAGAGAATAGAGAGACCGTCTTGGGAAGATACGCGCGTAGACGGTGCGTCATATGCTGCTTCGGAGCTGCGTTGCCTTATCGCAATCGTGGTACAGAAACCCGAAATTGCCGAAGTCCGACCTGCACACGTTAGAGACGCAGATTAAATTGAGTTTTTTGGACGACGGCCGATGACGACACCTGCGAAGCCAAAATTTATGGCTGTTGGAAGCGTGCGGAGTTCCGTAATCGTTCTCTTCGCCACGTGCATCGCCGTTACGATCTGCTTTAAGATTATCGCGTCAGACTTTCGCACGAACCTGTCGCCTATTCCGCTGGCAGTGTCGGTACTAGGTCTTAACGGCCGCGAGGATAGGAGGAGAGTGGCCGGGGCCGTAGCAATTGAGGTGGAAAAGGAGGGGGGAGGCATTACTGGAGTAGAAGCTTCAACCGCTGATCAATCTCAACCGTTGATCCCGGGGTCCAGACTTGCGACTGTAGCCGAGGTCAAGCGGTTTGAGACAAGATTTGATTGTTTGGCGTCTAAAGGGCAGTGGGTGTATGACCCTTGGCCAAGATACCTACCATGGGGAGATGACGTAAAAGAAAGTTACTCTTTGTGTGACTACTGGTGGATTACAGAGGCCCAGAAAAACATTTCCGGGCAGAATGATTCTCATGGGGCAGCTGCATTACCGAACATCGCGTATGACACTGCGGATGGAGTGGCTCGGAGGAGGGGGGGGAAGGCAGTGTGGCAGGTTCGGCCGAGCGTGAAGTACCGGTGGCTGTTGCCGAAGCAGAAAGAGGGTGGAGAAATGGAAGAGTGTGGGGAAACTGAGTGGTGGGGGGAGGTGGACTGTGCGCTGTTGAAAGCAGGGCTTGTTCCAAACGGAGGGAAGATCATGATAGTGGGGGATTCGTTAAACTTGGAAGTTTTCGAGGCTTTTAAGAACCTTATGAATATGTGCCAGAAGAAGTGTATTTTGGGGATGTGGAAGAATTGGTACGAGGAAAGGCAGCAGCAGAGGCAGCAGAGGCAGCAGAGGCAGCAGAGGCAGCAGAGGCAGCAGAGGCAGCAGGAGGTACAGCAGGGACATCAGGGGGCGCAGCAAATGCAGCCACGGCGGCGACAGCTGCAAGGGCTGGAGAACCAACAGCAGAAACAGGAAGGGGCGCAGGAGGGAAAACAGGAGGAGCAGCAGCAGCAGCAGCAGCAGAAGAATGAGCAGCAGGAGCAACAGGAGTTACTGCTTTACCAGCAGCAGCGGCAGCAGCTAGAAGAAAGAATAGAGCAGGAATGTTCGGGGGTAGAGAAGCTTGGACAGGAATCCTGTGCGGAGCATCGCAAAATTCGTGAGATCAGCTGGCAGTGCAAGGAAATACGATATGGGAACACCACAATACTGTACATTCGGAATGACCTTCTAAACACGTCAAACGACTATTTGATCGAGAAACCTCGCTGCATCAACACCCCTTGGATGAGGACACTCAAGGAGGATCGCAGCGTTGCAGTGCTTCTACTGAATCGTGGAGCGCACTATGAAGAGAATGAAGTTTTCATTCCTGACCTCAATGCTACTCTTCATGAAGTAAGAGACGCCGCTCCGAACACGCTTGTGATCTACCGGAGCACGCCCGGAGGCCATCCCAACTGCACAAGAGAGATTACAGATCCTTTCAAGGAGCCCCCGGACATGAGCTCCTATCCATTCCACTATGGAGATTTTCACGAACAAAACATGATTACTAGGCAATTGGTGAAGGAAATTGGAGGGGTGTTTATGGATGTTGAGAGGATGACTGAGATGAGACCTGATGGGCATATGAACCCTCCAAGAGATTGTTTGCATTATTGTCTCCCTGGGCCTGTTGACACTTGGGTTAGCATGTTTTACCACATGCTTACACAGTTGCTGTAAATTTTATTCATATTCTTTGGTTGCCATCCATGTCAAAACTGTATTGGATAAAACATGGATGCTGAAAAGTCCAGAGAATTTAAAGGATGAACAAGATAGGTCGCAATTCAAGCCATTTAGTATCGGTCCAGGAACTCCCTGGCGCATATCCCATCTGCTCATAACGAATTTGACAGGATGTCAGTTTCACCTTCGGCATTCCCAAGGTGTGTTTTTTCGCCAAATTCTCATTTGCTGAAGCCTCTGCACCCTGGGCTTGCGGTGCTGCCAGATTCAGCTCGGCTTTTCCCTAGCGCTTCCACTCCCAGGCGCGCAGTTCCTAAAGCAGCCTTCGACAGGCCCACATGATCCTGTGCCCCTTCATTCGAGGGAGCTGTCTCTCTGCTCGTACGATCGACGCTCCTGCTCTCCGCTTCTCCGCTCGTTGTCATTCAACAGTTAGCCTCTCGCGCTTTACGTCTGATATCAGCGCTGCCGTTCTTAGTATTCAATCTCCGAAAGCTCTCAACAAGAAGGGCGTAGGGTCGGATTTTCTCGCCGTCCCGCTCGTCAAGCGAAATTTACGAGGGTCGCGAACAGTAACAGCAGCAGCGGTTAAGGCGACGGCATCAGCGGCAACACCGGGTACACTTTCTGACCAAGCTAATGTTAGCAGTCACGAATGGTCACGGATTTTCTGGCTTTAATGGTTACTTGTGTATGAGCAGTCTGAAAAACGAACATCGGCAACAGCAATGTGTACCACGTAGCAGGGGAGGTCTTGATGCTCCTGGTCCATGCGCCGTAGCTTTTGAGTCGATTCAAGGTTTTACCTGATATTGGTACTTAGTAAATTGTAAATTAAGGTTTCTGTATGATTATCTTACCTTACTCAATCTTCTGGTGCGTATTCTGATTCGGTTGTTCTTCTGGGGTTACTTCGTAACAGGCGAAGTCAATTTGCGGGGAGTTTCGGAAGAAGCTATGGAGAAGCAGGGTATTCTCGTCTACGGTGCCACAGGTACCATGTGACGTGTGCCACGGATAACGTATGCTACACTTGTGACGTGTGCCACGGATAACGTATGCTACACTTGTGACGCGTGCTCAGATGTGTGCTATATGTTACGTCGTGTGCCACTTGTGGCTTGTGCCACAGATAACGTATGCTACACATGTGACGTGTGCTGCAGATGAACGCTATAGGTGACGTGCTGTTCACGAAACGTGCTGCATTTGGGATGTGTGCTTGAGATTGTTTGTTCAAGTTGTGACGTGTGTGTGTTAGATGTAATGCGTGCGTGCTACAGATGTAAAGCATTCTCTGGTGTTCCCTCTCCCTCTCACCAGGCACTATCGTCACGCTCATAGTCCAGAAGAGCAAGCAGGTCGCCCTTCCAGCCACCACTCACTCGCTTCTGGTTTTCTCTTTCTCTCCTCGCGCTCCCTGGTGTTCCTTTCCCCCTCACCAGGCACTACCGTCACGCTCATAGCCCAGAAGGTCAAGCAAGTCGGCCCACCTGCCACTACCCGACTCTCCTCTTGTTCTTCCTCTTCCTTCCCTCTCATTCTGTGGTGTTCCATCTCCCCTTCACTTCACCAGGCACCACCGTCACGCTTAGCCCAGAAGATTAAGGAGGTGGGCCCACCTGCCACCACTCTCTCTCTCGTGGTTTTTCCTCTCCCTACCCCTGGTTCCCTTTCCCCCACTCCAGGCACCACTGGCACGCTCATAGCCCAGAAGATCAAGGAGGTGGGCCTTCCAGCCACCACTCACTCGCTTCTGGTTTTCTCTCTTTCTCTCCTCGCGCTCCCTGGTGTTCCTTTCCCCCTCACCAGGCACCACTGGCACACTCATGGCCCAGACGATGAAGGAGGTGGGCCTTCCAGCCACCACTCACTCGCTTCTAGTTCTCCCTGTTTTTTCCCTTGCGTCTTCTCGTTCTCCCCTCACCAGGTACCACTGGCACACTCATTGCCCAGAAGGTCAAGGAGGTGGGCCTTCCAGCCACCACTCACTCTCTCCTGGTTTACCCTCTCCCTACCCCTGGTTCCCTTTCCCCCACTCCAGGCACCACTGGCACGCTCATAGCCCAGAAGGTCAAGGAGGTCTGCCCTTCCATCCACTCCTCTCTCTCTTCTGATTCTCCCTGTTGTTTTCCTTGCGTCTTCTCGTTCTCTCCCCTTCACTTCTCCAGGCACGACTGGCACGCTCATAGCCCAGAAAATCAAGGAATTCGGCCCACCTGCCACTGCCCGACTCTCTTCTTGTTCTTCCTCCTCCTTCCCTCTCATTCTCTTGTGTTCCATCTCCCCTTCGCTTCTCCAGGCACCACTGGCACACTCATAGCCCAGAAGGTCAAGGAGGTCGGATCCCCTGCAACTACTCATTCTTTCCTGATTCTTCTTCCTGCCTTCGCGTTCTATGGTGTCCCTCTCCCGTTCTCCAGGCACCACTGGCACGCTCATAGCCCAGAAGATCAAGGAGGTGGGGCTTCCAGCCACTCCTCACTCTCTTCCGCTTCTCCCTCTTCTCCCTCTTGCGTTCTCTCTCCGGTGTTCCATCTCCCCTTCTCCAGGCACCACTGGCACACTCATTGCCCAGAAGGTCAAGGAGGTCGGCCTTCCAGCCACCCTTGCAGGGAGAAATCTGAAGAAGCTAGAGTAAGCTGTTCATACATTTTGGTATTCATACAGTAATAAATTATACTTACTATCAACCGGTGCTCATAGAAACGATGGTGTACCCATTTTTTGTGCTTCAGACCGTAGCGGTTCTAGAATACAAACAATACCATCTTGTGTTGATGCGTCTTCCCGTGTCTTTTATTTTTCACCCTCCTTGTTCCCCAGGGCTATCGGCAAGGCTGTGGGTCTGCCTGTAGCAGCGGTTGACTTGAACGACACGCAGGGACTGGTGGAGCTGGTGGGGAGGCACAAGGTGGTGCTGCACGTGGCTGGGGTGAGTGGTGTGTTTCCTCTGTAGTTGTATTGTGATAAGTGTGGAGAGCTGTTGCTGAGTCAACTCAAGGGTAGCGACACGCAAGGGCTGGTGGAGCTGGTGGGGAGGCACAAGGTGGTGCTGCACGTGGCCGGGGTGAGTGGTGTGTTTCCTCTGTAGTTGTATTGTGATAAGTGTGGAGAGCTGTTGCTGAGTCAACTCAAGGGTAGCGACACGCAAGGGCTGGTGGAGCTGGTGGGGAGGCACAAGGTGGTGCTGCACGTGGCTGGGGTGAGTGGTGCACGTGGCTGGGGTGAGTGCTGTGCTTCCTCTATGATTGTATTGTGGTTTGTGCGGAGAGCTATTGTGGTGAGTCGGCTCGAGAGTAGCGATGCGCAAGGGCTGGTGGAGCTTGTGGGGAGGCACAAGGTGGTGCTGCACGTGGCTGGGGTGAGTGGTGCAAAGAGGTCGTGGGGTGAGTGATGGGGGAGTTGTTGCCATGAGTGCAGAGAGAGCGGCTGTGGTAAATTGTGACAGTGCTGCTGCAGTGAGTCAACTTAAATGTCTATCCTCTGTGTTTCCCTGTGTCACTGCTGCTGCAGTGATGGGGGAGTTGTTGCCATGAGTGCAGAGAGGGCGGCTGTGGTAAATGGTGAGAGTGCTGCTGCAGTGAGTCGACTTAAATGTCTCTCCTCTGTGTTTCCCTGTGCACAGCCCTTCACAGTCACGTCCAAGCCCATGATTGAGGCCTGCATCAGCACCGGCACCCACTACCTCGATGTCACTGGGGAGTTTAAGGTGCGCCCTCGTGACACTTCGTAAGAAAAAAATATTGATTGGGTGTCGAGCCTGAAAAGGTTTCAATAACGTAGAGAACTAGTGTTTTTCTATTTAAGTGTTTCCATGTCTGCGGACCTGCATTGGCTTGTCTTTGCTGCACATGGCATGGCATGAGGTTCATGACATAAACGTTAATGGATGGATGGCATGGCATGGCATGGCATGGCATGGCAGGTGATGGAGAATGCGCGCACATACGATGCCACAGCCAAGGAGAAGGGCATCATGATTCTGCCTGCTGTTGGCTTCGACGTCATTCCAGGAGGTATGGGGTTCGAGACATATACGTTATGGCGTGCCATGGCATGGTGTGGCAGGTGATGGAGAATGCGCGTGCATACGATGCCACAGCCAAGGAGAAGGGCATCATGATTCTGCCAGCTGTCGGCTTTGACGTCATTCCAGGAGGTATGCTGGTGACTGTGCTGACTGCTTGGCAGGTGACTTTTGAGTCGACTCAAAAGTCACCTTATGATTCTCCCTGCTGTCGGCTTTGACGTCATTCCGGGAGGTATGGTGGTGATGGTGCTGACATGGCAACAATCCAGGTGGTGTGACTTGACTCGATTGGATTTGAGAGGTCAGAAGGCCCGTTGTTGTCATTCGTCTTGCCTCCAGAAGCATTCGTCTCTTTTTCTGGTTGTAGAAGAGAAGGGCGCCATGATTCTGCCTGCATCCAACTGCTGCCTAGCGGCATACATCAAAGGTACCTCAGCCATTATCAATGGCACGCTTCCATTCCACAACAAGTGGCTGCGTCCCCTTTCTATCCAATCGTAAATGCGCAGACTGCCTGGCAGGGTACCTCAAGTCCAAGCTCCCATCAGCAACAGAGCTTCACCTCGCCACTTTTTTTTCCATTTCCCCACCTGTGAGTGTTCATGTGTGCGTGGTCGTGAGTATCCCCTCCCCATCCTTCCCTGTACGTCTCCCCAACAACACCAACACCCAGACTGCCTGGCAGGGTACTTGAAGGACAAGCTCCCCTCAGCAACAGATCTTCACCTCGCCACTTTCATTTCCACCACCGCTCCTGTGAGTCAGAGTGTGTGTGTGGGGCCGTGAGCACATGCGTTTGTGTGTATGTGAGTGTGAGAGTGTGGGCCTGTGCATGCGTGTGAGTGTGAGAGTGTGGGCCTGTGCATGCGTGTGAGTGTGAGAGTGTGGGCCTGTGCATGCGTGAGAGTGTGAGAGTGTGGGCCTGTGCATGCGTGTGAGTGTGAGAGTGTGGGCCTGTGCATGCGTGAGAGTGTGAGAGTGTGGGCCTGTGCATGCGTGAGAGTGTGAGTATGTACACAGCAGTTGCTCTGTGTCAGGGCGAGGACCCTCTGCCTGCCCCCCGCTCTCTCTGCCCCCCCTCTCTCTGCCCCCGCTCTCTCTGCCCCGTCTTTTCCACCAAAGCCATGCTGTCCCATGGCACACTCTCATCAAATGCCGATGAGGCCCATGCTGATTCTTTCTCCCTTCTATGCCATGCCATTTCGTGGCTTGCCTCAAGTCCGTGTCAGGGCAGGACCCTCTGTCTACCTACCCCGCCCAGCGCCCTGCCGTCCCACGGCACGCTGATCTCGGGCGCCAAGCACATTCTCACACTGGGAGGCCTGGTTGACTGTAACTCTTTCCTTCCAATACCCTACCCTTCCCTCATTTGTGACAGGGCGAGGACCCTCTGTCCAAGCCACCCAGCGCCCTGCCATCCCACGGCACGCTGATCTCGGGCGCCAAGCACATTCTCACGCTGGGAGGGCTGGTGCGAAGGAATGGCGCGATCGTGAAGGAGTCCGTTGCGAAATCGTGAGTGCAGTGAGTGTAGAGTCCACGCAGTGGCACCGTCGCTACTGCGTGCAGCAGGGATGCTTGTGTGAACTTGTGGCAGGCGCATTCTGACGCTGGGAGGGCTCGTGCGCCGGAATGGCGCGATTGTGAAGGAGTCCGTTGCGAAATTGTCGTGAGTGCAGTCGCAAGCAAGGTTGTGAGAGACTTTTGAGACGTCTCAAGAAATCTTGAGTGCTGTTGAAAGCAAGATTGTGAGTGACTTTTGAGACGTCTCAGGAAATCTTGAGTGCCAACGAGCTTCAACGTCCTGCATCACCTCCCCATCTCCCAGTGGTTGTTCTTCTTTTATTTGCAAGGAGCTTCCACCTCTCTCCACCATGTCTTTCCCAGAAGCTGATTCCGTTAGCAGCACCTCCCTCTCCACCTCCTGCCCGTTTCAACAGCCTTGTCTCTGTGCCTCCCTCCCCCTTCACCTCTCCCGCCCTCTCTCCCAGTGGTCGCTCCTTCCTCATTCGCAGGGAGCTCCCGCCCCTCTCCACCATGTCCTTCCCGGCAGGCAGCTGAGCTCTTCAGCACCTCCCTCTCCACCGCCATTCTGATCCAACTGCTTTGCCACTGTGCCACCCTCTTCCCTCACTCCCTTCCCCCCGTTCACCCCTCCCTCACAGTGGTCGCTCCTTCCTCATTCGCAGGGAGCTCCCGCCTCTCTCCACCATGTCCTTCCCGGCAGCTGAGCTCTTCAGCACCTCCCTCTCCACCTCCATCCCCAACATCACAGTCTACGTGCCAGGTGAGGTTTCCTTTGCCTCGTATCGCTCCTCCTCTCTGTATGCCCCTCCTCTCTGCATACTCCTGATCGGCTCTTCTAGCCTCTTCAGCACCTCGCTCTCCACCTCCGTCCCCAACATCACCGTCTACGTGCCAGTTGAGCTGCCCCCTCCCTTGCACTGCTCTTGTTCCTTCCTTATTCTGCTCTTTTCATTGCTCTCCACATTCTTCTCTATATGCTACTTCTCAGCTGATCCATCCTTCTGCTCTCTGTCACCTCACCACTTCCCTCTTCACCCTTATGCCCAACATCACCATGTATGTACCAGCCAGGTCAGCTGCTCTTCGCTGTAAAGCTTTTCTTCCTCTCTTCGCGTCTCTCTTTCTTTTTCTCACATTTCTCTTTCCACTTCTCTCTCCTCTCTCCTCTCTCGCACCCCCCTTCTCTCCCTCACTTTCGCACCAACCAGGTAAATCCTCCTGGGTGACGTCACTGTTCATCAGCATCATTCAGTTTGCCGCCCGGGTCTGGCCCTTTAACCGCCTCTTGGAGTCTGCCATTCGAATGCTGCCCACCCCAGATACCACCCCGGTGAGCACACATGAGGGCTGTTGCTTCAGTGTGCGCTTCAGCACCAGTACACTTCTCTTTCTCCTGCCACTGCCCCTTCACTCGCCTCTTGGAGTCTGCCATTCAAATGCTGCCCACCCCAGATACCACCCCGGTAAGCACGCATGCTGGCTGTTGCTTCAGTGTGCGCTTCAGCACCAGTGCGCTGTTTTCCCTCTGTGAGTGCGCCCTTCACCCGCCTCTTGGAGTCTGCTATTCGGATGCTGCCCACCCCAGATACCACCCCGGTGAGCATCTCACTAGTTCATGCCTTAACAACCAGGTAGATCCTCCTGGGTGACGTCACTGTTCATCAGCATCATTCAGTTTGCCGCCCGGGTCTGGCCCTTTAACCGCCTATTGGAGTCTGCCATCCGAATGCTGCCCACCCCAGATACCACCCCGGTAAGCGCGCGTGCACTGGTAATTCATGCCCTCTGTTGGTGCTTCGGCAGCAACCTTCTGGTGAGCTGTGCTTCCCCATGCGTCTGGCCCTTTAACCGCCTCTTGGGGTCTGCAATTCGAATGCTGCCCACCCCGGATACCACCCCCGTAAGCATCTCACTAGTTAGTTAGTGCTTCCGCATTCTCTGATGCTCCAGCGTCCACTGATGCTCCAGCCTGATGCTTCAGCATCCACTGATGCTCCAGCATCCACTGATGCTCCAGCATCCTATGGTGGCGCTTCTGCAGTATCCTCTGGTGAGGTTCTGTTCTTCCAGCAACAAGAGTGCCATGCCATGCCATGCCATGCCATGCCATGCCATGCCATGCCATGCCATGCCATGCCATGCCATGCCATGCCATGCCATGCCACGCCACGCCACGCCACGCCACGCCACGCCATGCCATGCCACGCCACGCCACGCCACGCCATGCCATGCCACGCCACGCCATGCCATGCCATGCCATGCCATGCCATGCCATGCCACGCCATGCCATGCCATGCCATGCCATGCCATGCCATGCCATGCCACACCATGTGAACTCGCCTGGTCTTCACTCTTTCTCCTTCAACCCCTCTGCCGCAGGGTCACAGGGTAAAACACGTTCATGGCATGCGCGGGGGAGGTGGTAGACACTGCCAGCACATCCCATCCCATTCCTTGCCATGTTGACTCACCTACTCGTTACCGTTGCTTCTCCTTTCTTCCCACCCCCCTCCTCATCGTGCTACAGGTCACAGGGTGAACAGGGGCATGGCATGTGCGGGGGAGGTGGTAGACTGCCAGCACATCCCTTTCCACGCTAACCCGCCTCTTCCTCCCTCCTGTTTCCCCCCTTTCACCCTCCCGTTCACTGCAGGGTCACAGGGTGCACACGGGCATGGCATGCGCAGGGGAGGTGGTAGACACTGCCAGCAACAAGTTGCACATGCCGTGCCTTGCTGTGCCATGCCATGCCATGCCATGCCGTATGCTCCATGAAATGTTAATTCGCCTTGTCGTCCCTCCCCTCCTTCTGCAGGGTCACAGGGTAAACACGGGCATGGCATGCGCGGGGGAGGTGGTAGATACTGCCAGCAACAAGAGGCACAGGGCATCTGTGATTGTAGGCGAAGGTGAGTCAAACTTTTGAGTTGGCTCAAAACTCACCTCGAACTTTTGAGTCGGCTCAAAACACGTGATAAAAGTAGTGCTTTGAGACGTCTCAAAGAGGCACAGGGCTTCTGTGATCGTTGGTGAAGGTGGGTTAAAATGGTGGTGCTTGTTAGAACGGTACTCCTACAATCATTCTGTGTTCCGTTTTCTGCGGATCCTTTTAGGGGTGGGAGATGATATACACCTCTTAGGGATGAGCAAAGAAACGAACACCTGTTCGGTTCGCCTCGAAACAGGCTTTGATTTTTAGCTTAATTTGTTCGACGAACACTGTTTGAGGTTCGCCCGAACACGTTCGTGTTTGTGGCGCTGCTGCGGAACGCCCCGTGTTAAACACGAACGTGTTCGATGTTCGCCCGAACACGCCTTCACAGGTGAACGCCGAACACCCTTTTTTAGAGAAGTCGTTCGGCAAACCGAACAGTGTTTGGTTCGCCCAACGGCCATGTTCGTGCGAGGGCGAACGCGAACATGTTTGTGTTCGCCATTTGCTCATCTCATCCCTAACGCCTCTGAAGGCTCCTCTATTTCTTGTCGTCTTCCCTGTCCTGCCTCCTTTTCCTCGGGCACATTTCAGGGCACCATTATTAGACGCCTCTGTAAGATTTTTGCCTTCTCCTCCTTCCATTTCCTGCATCCTTGCCCTTTGTGCGTTTCAGGGTACCACTTCACGGCAAGCTGCAGCGTGGAAGTGGCACGGAGGGTGTTACAAGGGGAGTTCAAGCCCGGTTACCAGGTAACACCGATGGCTATACCATGTGACTTCGATTCCACTGGGAGTTCCTTGTCTCCTGATGTTCATCTTAAGCTCATTGTCTCCTAATCTTCGTCTAAAGTCATTGTCTCCTGATATTCATTTAAAACTCATTTAGTCTCCTGATTTCATTTCATCTACTACTTATTGTGTCCTATTGTTATTCTAAGACTCATTGTCTCCTGGTTTTCACATAGCTCAACACGTGCCTCTCTCCTCCCCCATTGCCTTTGCAGACACCTGCCACAGCATATGGTACAAGCCTGGTACAGGAGATTCCAGGGGAGAGGGTGGAGATAGTGGATTTGGACTAGGTAGGGTGATTGGAGGTTTCCTTATACCAGTCGCTGTTCTGATGGGGCTCATTAGGGGTCCCGGTTTAGCGAATTCTCTCAGAAGACAGCTGATGAGGCGCCTGAAGAGGGAACTGGATTAGAAAGCCGACTCACAAAACACCAATCAGTCGCGTCGCAGCATGTGGGGCGAGCCTGGTGCAGGAGATCTAAGGAAAGAGGGTGGAGATAGTGGATCTGGACAAAGGAGGGTGGGTGGTTGGTATGGTAGTGATGCTACTGGTTGAGCTTATCATACCGCATGATCACCTTCAATCTAGTGCCATTCTGAACCCTGTGCAAGGCGCACAGCAAAAAGCACTTCTTACACGCATGAGAATGAAAAAAAAAAAGTTCGCAAGCACACACACTAAAGAATTGAGTGCATGAGTTATTACATTTTTCATCTATCACTATCAGGTACTATTTCAGCATATATCGATTTTCCTGTGGGTGAGTCGCAGGCAACACGCCTCCGCAAGATGGTTTCTGTGCATCACATGCAGCACCTTGTGAAATGTCGCAGAACTCTTCAGAATAGATAAAGGCGCTATTCCCCATCACATTCCAAATTGGTTGCGATATTTTTCCGTTTCTACCTTGCTTGCAACAAGCACACGAGCAGTTTGCCTGCAACCAGGTTTCTTTGCGCCATGCCGCCAGTTCCTCTGTTTGCAACGGTGGATCGGGAGTTTCTCAATTGGAGCCTGTTACCGGTATTATGGGGTTGGCGTTTCCTGTGGGGACGTACAACCCAAGAAGACTCAGATTCAGACTCAGGCTCAGACTCAGGCTCAGAATCAGAGGAAGAACCAGTGTCGGAAACGGAGAATGGCGTTCTTGTCTACGGTGCTACAGGTAACGTGTGCTGCAGATAACGTTTGCCACATGTAGCGTGTGCCACATGTATGTGTTACACGTGTGCTGCAGGTAGCGTATGCCAGATGTAACGTGTGCTAGTACTACAGGGAACCCTTGGGTCTTCCAGTCACGACTCACTCTCTTCTGCTTCCCACTTCTTCCCCTCTCGCTCTCTCTCTGGTGTTCCATCTCCCCTTCACTCCACCAGGCACCACTGGCACGCTCATAGCCCAGAAAATTAAGGAGATTGGCCTTCCAGCCACCCTCGCAGGGAGAAATCTGAAGAAGCTAAAGTAAGCTATTTGTACAGTAATTATTTCTACAGTAATTATTCCTACCGTAACTACCAACCAGTTCTGGGGAAACTGCTGTACCCATATTTTGTTGTTCAATTTGCATCGGCTTTACAGTACAATCGATTTTATGCTATGGCGAAGTGAGCAGCAATCTTGGTATTGTTGACATCCACATCCTCCTCCCTCCAAATCCTTGCTGCGTCTGCAGGTTTTCCAGGACGATCGGCAAGGTTATGGGTCTGCCTGTCCCTGTTGTTGTAGGCTTGAATGGCGTTCTAAAACATCTCTCCACACACCCATCTCCCCTCCTCTTCTCCCCCCCCCCCCCCCCCCGGTCCTGGCTCTCCAGATTAATCGGTAGGTCTGCCTGTATTACTGCTGGGTTCAATTCGAGCGATGTTCTAGTCATCTCTCCTCCTCTCTCCCCTCCCCTCTCTTCCCCCTCCGCTCTCTTTTGCCGCCTATTCTTCCTGTTTTGCTGGTTCCCAAGGTATCGGCAAGGCAGTGGGTCTGCCGGTAACAGCGGTGGATTTGAACGATGTTCTAGTCAGCTCTTTTCCCCTCCCCTCCCCGCCTTATTCTTCTGTCCTTCCTGCTTCCAGGAGTCTTGGCAAGGCAGTGGGTCTGCCGGTAACAGCGGTGGATTTGAACGATGTTCTAGTCAGCTCTTTCCCCCTCCCTTTCCCCCCATATTCTTCTGTCCTCCTGCTTCCCAGGAAACTTGGCAAGGCTGTGGGTCTGCCTGTAGCAGCGGTAGGCCTGAACAACACAAAAAAGCTGGTGGAGCTGGTGGGGAGGCACAAGGTGGTGCTGCACGTGGCTGGGGTGAGTGATGAGAGCTGTTGTGATGGGTGATGAGAGCTGTTGTGATGGGTGATGAGAGCTGTTGTGATGGGTGATGAGAGCTGTTGTGATGGGTGATGAGAGCTGTTGTGATGGGTGATGAGAGCTGTTGTGATGGGTGATGAGAGCTGTTGTGATGGGTGATGAGAGCTGTTGTGATGGGTGATGAGAGCTGTTGTGATGGGTGATGAGAGCTGTTGTGATGGGTGATGAGAGCTGTTGTGATGGGTGATGAGAGCTGTTGTGATGGGTGATGAGAGCTGTTGTGATGGGTGATGAGAGCTGTTGTGATGGGTGATGAGAGCTGTTGTGATGGGTGATGAGAGCTGTTGTGATGGGTGATGAGAGCTGTTGTGATGGGTGATGAGAGCTGTTGTGATGGGTGATGAGAGCTGTTGTGATGGGTGATGAGAGCTGTTGTGATGGGTGATGAGAGCTGTTGTGATGGGTGATGAGAGCTGTTGTGATGGGTGATGAGAGCTGTTGTGATGGGTGATGAGAGCTGTTGTGATGGGTGATGAGAGCTGTTGTGATGGGTGATGAGAGCTGTTGTGATGGGTGATGAGAGCTGTTGTGATGGGTGATGAGAGCTGTTGTGATGGGTGATGAGAGCTGTTGTGATGGGTGATGAGAGCTGTTGTGATGGGTGATGAGAGCTGTTGTGATGGGTGATGAGAGCTGTTGTGATGGGTGATGAGAGCTGTTGTGATGGGTGATGAGAGCTGTTGTGATGGGTGATGAGAGCTGTTGTGATGGGTGATGAGAGCTGTTGTGATGGGTGATGAGAGCTGTTGTGATGGGTGATGAGAGCTGTTGTGATGGGTGATGAGAGCTGTTGTGATGGGTGATGAGAGCTGTTGTGATGGGTGATGAGAGCTGTTGTGATGGGTGATGAGAGCTGTTGTGATGGGTGATGAGAGCTGTTGTGATGGGTGATGAGAGCTGTTGTGATGGGTGATGAGAGCTGTTGTGATGGGTGATGAGAACTGTTGTGATGGGTGATGAGAGCTGTTGTGATGGGTGATGAGAGCTGTTGTGATGGGTGATGAGAGCTGTTGTGATGGGTGATGAGTGCTTTTGGGTTGAGTGATGATACCTGGGTTGAAGTGGGTGGGAACATACATGCTGTGTTGAGTAATTCTTAGGAAGTTTGCTGCATGGGGTGAATTTCTGCACACACTTTGCCTGTAGGCATGGTTTGCTTGCGCTATAAATTTCTCCGTGCTTTCTCTTGCACTGTGGTATAGCCCTTCAGACACGCCAAAGCCCATGGTGTGACCGAAGCCTGCGCTCGCATTAGCGCTCACAACCTCATACTGTTTCTTGACTCAAGAGTCTCATGAGATTCTGTCTGTGCCCTGTGAATTGTTACATATTGTGTCACAGCCCTTTCAAGTCACATCCAAGCCCATGATTGAGGCCTGCATCAGCACCGGCACCCACTACCTGGATGTTACTAACGAGTTCAAGGTGCGCCACTGCAGCGCTTAGTTAAGAGGAATTTATTGTTCAGTTGGCACTTAATGGAGAGTGAGGTATGGGGTCGTGGTGTATGGAGGGTTTGTTTGCTGCACTGCACGTGTCATTGGGTTTGATCTGTGGCGGCATGCACGCGATGGCATGAGGCTTTTGGTGTGGGCTCATGGCATGGCATGGCTTGGGATTGTATTGCATGGCATGGCGTGGCATGGCGTGGCGTGGCTTGGCATGACATGGCATGACAGGTGATGGAGCATGCACGCACGTATGATGCGAGAGCCAAGAAGAAAAACATCATGATTCTCCCTGGTGTCGGATTTGACGTCGTTACGGGAGGTATGCTTTTGAGAATTCTCATAATGTATAAGTTTTTCTGCTGTTTATGGTGCCAATGGTGAGTCATGAGGCATGATGATCTGATATGCTTCGATTTGGGAGGTCAGACCCCCCCCCCCGGCCCACTTCCCCCCCCCCTCAACATCCACCCCCCCCTCCCCCCCCACTCTCCTCCCCGCCTTCTCGCTTCAACTCTTTTTTCTCCCTTTTCTACAACATCAATCACTAGACTGCCTGGCAGCATACCTCAAGGGTGCTTCAAGAATTCCGAAGCGCACACCTTCCATGGCAGCCTTTCAAGCGGCTGCCGCTTTCTCCCCTTGTTGAGGCAGACTGCCTGGGACGATACCTTAAAGACAAGGGTTCTTCCGCAACATGAGGGCATCTCGTCATCGGACCTTCACTTCCCTCTTTCTTCTCTCGCTCTTCCAGACTGCCTGGCAGGGTACCTCAAAGACAAGATCCCCTCAGCGACGGAGCTTCACCTCGCCACTCTCATCCCTACTGCCGCTCCTGTGAGTGTGTGATTTTGTGTGTGTGCGTGTGCGTGTGCGTGTGTGCGTGTGTGCGTGTGTGCGTGTGTGCGTGTGTGTGTGTGTGTGTGTGTGTGCGCGCGCGTGCGCGCGTGTGTGTGTGTTAATCTCTCATGTGAGTGTGTAAATGTGTGTAATACAGCCACTCCCTTTTCAAGGTCGAGCAACGTCTGTCCACCTGAGTCAACACCAATCTTGAGGTGCCTAAGGAATCGGCAACTCCCTTTCAGACGTCAAGCTCCCTCTCACTACCTCACAGTCAACGCCCGATGCCCTCCCTTCTGACATCGCTCTTTCATCCGATCCAAACACTTACCCGCTTCGTTTTTTCCCCAAAATTTTGGAACCCTCGCCATACATCAAATGCCCAGCACGTCGTGACTCCGTTTCACCCCTGAACTTAAACTGTTGGATCCGCCAACCAACAATACAAGGACCTCTTGTCTACTCCCATCCCACGGCGTGCCCACATTGGCCGACATGCTCGTTTTTTTTTTTTTTTTTTTTTTTTTTTCTGTGTCGCCCTGTCTTCTGTGACAGGGTGAGGACCCTCGTTCAGGCCCAGCGAATGCCCACGGCACGCTGATCTCGGGCGCCAAGCACATTTTGCCGCTGGGAGGGCTGGTGCGCAGGA